CCTTTATACTGACCACAGAAGAATGTGCACTGGATAACAAATCTGATACCAAGGGTTTGAAGTAGGACAAATACAAATACATAAACAGATAAAAATGCATACGTATCTACAGTATCTATTTGTCAATGGATTATAGGCACACTTTTTTTACCAAATATAATTTCTAGAAGGGGTACATCTGATGCATACTAAGCAAATCTGGGTATAGCTCTAGGCATGCAAAGCTTTCTGATTTTGGTTTTGGGCACATTTTTGGTCCTCAATTTTGCCAATTTTTGCCCGAATATATGAAAAAAACGGTGCATCTAATGCATAATGTTAAGCAAATCTAGGTATAGCTCTAGGCATACAGTACTATCTGATTTTGGCGAGGGGTATTATTGTGGTTCTCAATGTTTTCTATTTTTGCCCGAATATACAAACAGACAACTTCCACAGTTTTTTCGAAGGATATGTGATACTGTCTTGCAACTGTTCAGAATTTGCATGGCTATCCAATGTTTCTATCGTCTTGTCCTTTGTTTGCATCCATTACCAGTGTGCCTCTATTTTCCATTTTGGACACAATGTTGCACTTTAAATTAATTCAGTTTTTCACCGATTTTTTAGTCCATTTAGCGGATGCATATTCATTCAATTTCATTGAGGGAGGGCCCATTTAGTGCATATAAATGGGATCTTAAATGGTTAAACCCTATTTCATTTCATTGGAAGAGGAAAATTGTGTGATTGATTGGTCGAATGAAAGTAATTTCTGAAGCAAATGCTTTCGAAATGTAGAAGATTTTATAATATCCAGGAAGTAATTCAAGCAGATTTCCTGAAAGCTTAGAAAAAAAATAAAACTCATTCCACAACAGCTTAGAAGAAATCTCGATGCTAATAGAAAGACAGATTCAGCAGTAACTTGACATGAAAAAAACAGATTCTGCCAGGCTTACAGAGCAGTTTCTTCAATTGGAAAGATTATGCAAAAAAACCTAATACGATTTATGTTCAGCGAAACGTGAAAATAATGATGAAAAATGAGTGGAAAGCCTGACGATGAGGTTTATTGGACGTAATTCTATTGAGAACTGGTTAAGCAGTAATCTTTAAGACAAGTTTTTTTTTTTTACCTGTTGTGTGATCTTAAGCCACATCAAAGGATTGTAGAATGGTTTTTACTGAAAGAGTGGAGATAAAATGAGAAGATTTTACTCGTCTATGGTTGTATGTTACAATCTGTAAATAATCTCTCCGAACTACTGTCAGTCAACTATTCTATTCATACAGATATTAATATAATTTATCACTTTACTCACAGATCATAAATATATTTTATTTTATGTCATAACGACGGGTAGGCCGACACATAATAGAGCGGTTTAGTGCTGACACAAATACTTGAATATATGCATTTCCTTCTCAGAGAGAGAGAGAGAGAGAGATGGGTTTAACGTGCGCTCAACGCTCAACACACTCCACACAAACTAGGTCATTTCAATTATATTTCAATAATTCGCTTGCGCGTAGTGGTCTTTAGCAGGGGGAGAAAACAAGAGGTGACCCTACTCCTTGTCACTTACAACTGGGGAATCGAAACCACGCCATTTCTCTCTCTCTCTCTGAAGCGCATGTGTTAAACCATTCTACCAACAAAATTTGAATTTCAAGGGTAGAATAGAATAAGCATTTGATGTAACTATTAATCATGTATAAATTTATTGTATATCTTGACACTGATTTTCATCTGTCAGTGTCAGACATTCTGCCATTTATTTGCTCAACCGGAGCTGGAGCTGTATTAAAAGATCCTGAACTTTTTAAAAGAGACAAAATTTTATTATAAGTTTTGATTGCATATAATTTTTAAATGTATATAAGTTTTAAAAGCTATATAAGTTTTAATAGTTTTAATTGTATAATAGTTTTAATGGGTATATAAGTTTTTATAGTTTTATTTGTATAATAGTTTTAGCAGGTACTAGCAGGATACCCGGCTTCGCTCGGGGGTCATAACTCCGAAACCGGAAGTGGTAGACTAACGCCACCTGGCCTATGTTACTCCCCGGTCCTAGCTACCCCTATACCCCAAATTTCAGACTCGGGCAGACCAAGTGTAGCCGCCAACCCCGAACAGACCGGCTTCGCCAGGGGGTCATAACTCCGAAACCGGAAGTGGTAGACTAACGCCACCTGGCCTATGTTACTCTCTGGTCCGAGCTACCCCTATACCCCAAATTTCAGACTCGGGGAAGACCTAGTGTAGCCGCCAACCCCGAACAGACAGACAGACAGACAGACTAACAGACAGACAAACGACAGTCACAAACATTAGTATAGATAGATAGATATAAGTTTTAATAGGTATATAGGTTTTAATAGTTTTAATTGTATACAATGTATAAGTTTTAATAGTTTTAATTGTATATAAGTTTTAATTGTATACATGTAACCTGTTTTCTTGCATTTTAATTGATTATATTCATAAAGTATTTGATATTTATTTTTAATTTTATATTATCTGTGAGATTTGTTTTTATTTGTGGATATAAATATATTTCTGTGATTTCTTTTATTTTTGTCTCAAATAATTTCATCATATATTTGGTGCAATATAGATTGATTGTAGCTGATGTGCCATAAAACCAAATTTCATTCATTCATTCCCATCCATCAGGTGCAAGCCTGGAAATAAAGATTTTAGTACATGATTGAAATTTTTAACATTTTATAATGTATTATAAATGTCATTTAATACACTGAGAAAGACACATCTGTGCTGAACAAAATACCAGACACCTGGCACGATATATCGCCGAATCGATGTCTTGTGATCCACCTTCTCATGAATCGCATATTGAACTGTGAGATGCTGAATCAGTGATTCTCAACCACTGTGCGTGTGCATCTTCCTAAGTGTGCCACAAAATTTTGTATGGCACACTAAGAAAATGTCAAAAACCACGCCATCCCAATTGAGTATTCACTTGTGTCTACTGATATGTTCATAGCTGTGTTTTTTCTTTATTTAGTTTCGGTCATTCTATGTGTCTATGACTAGTCTCTGTCTAGGGTTGTATGCTGTCTTGACGTACCATGTTTTTATTTTGCAAAATTCAGATATTTTTCATTTATATTTAGCCAGGTGTGCTATTTTTTTCATGTGTTCCAAGGTGTGCCGTTGGCAAAAAAGATTGAGAACCACTGCGCTGAATTGATGTATCAAGATTCTTTTGCTTTTTTTTTTATTTTGAAAGAAAAAAAAAATACACGAGAATGAGATAAAACAACACACCATTAAAGTTCTTTCATGTTTTTATTTCTTTTTGTCAGTGACAAAAAACAGATGATGAAAATGCTTGCGATACACAATAAAATAGTTGTAGTTTGATGATCAAAGAAAACACTTTAAACCGCTGGCAGATCAATTACAATGTCTTCTTCGGGAATATATAAAAATGTCTATTACTTTATTATCTTGGATAAATGTTTATCAAAATTTGGATATCTCTTGTCCTGAAGTGGAAATTCAAATTGTCAGTTAATTACGAAAGTTCTATCAATTTAATTAAGAAAGTTCGTCAATAGTGAATGTGTGGGATGATTAAGATTATCTTGAATGAGTCAGTTGTTATACGATACATATATACGCCAATACTTGGCTCAGAAAATTCCCCAGGATTTTCCCGGTTTCCTATAAGGTCTGTCATTGAGGCAACTGGCGTGGTTTCGATACCCAGGGTTGTACGTGACAAGGAGTTGGGTCGCCTGTCCAACCTTGTGGATTTTCTCCAGGTCCTCCGGTTTCCTCCCACTGATAAAGACCCCTACGCGCAAGCAAATTATTGAAATAAAATTGAACCATATGTTAGTCCCAAAATGACCTAATTGTGTCAAGTGGACGGCCTCTCTCTCTCTCTCTTTCTCTCTCTCTCTCTCCCCCCCCCCCTTTTAAGAGGTCCAGAAACTCAAGGAATGCCCCTGACCACTGCATAGACATACATGTACAGCACCCCTATATAATTAGGAGGGCAATAATGAATATTCACTAAAAACAATAATTTTGTCAGAAGAAAATCAATATGAGTATATGATACTTGTTTTCTTCAAAACTGTTCTTAAAAGAAAAAATAGATCTCGACACATTTTACTTCGCTGCGATAGTCTTGCCTAAATACACCTGCAGATATAGCACATGAAATCCGACACGATATTGTAAGTTAAATATCATAAAAACTTGCCCTGTATAATCATTTAATCAATTGTTTGTATTAAAGGGAGATAAATAAGTATAGTATTTCCCTGGGTTGTAATTGAACTAATTATGGTATATAGTCAAGGTAGAGTGTTTCAGGTAAACGGGATTAGTGAATAACAGATGTTTTTTTTTATTATGGTAGACATATGCTTCCAGTGACGTATAATGTACAAATATATACAAACTACAGAAATTTTAAAAAAGCCACAAAGCTGCAGAGATATTAAATCACAAAGCTAAAGAAATATAAAAACACAAAGCTACAAAATTAAAACACACAGAAATATAAAAACACACAACTACAGAAATATAAAAACACAAAACTATAAAGACACACAGCTCCAAAAACACAAAACTATAGAAATATAAAAAACACACAATTATAGAAATATAAAAATACACAATTATAGAAATATAACAACACAAAACTACAGAAATATAAAAACATAAAACTATAGAAATATAAAAACACAAAACAATAAAAACACACAGCTCCAAAAACACACAACTATAGAAATATAAAAACATACAGCTCCAAAAACACAAAACTATAAAATAACGAAAAACACACAAATATATATAAATATAAAAAACACACAACTACAAAAACACAATATAATAGGAATATAAACATACACAACTGTACCAAAAAAACACAAAACTACAGAAAATTGGTATTATATAATATGTGTCTACTCGAACTGAGTTTTTATATTAAACATACTGATAAATGTATATATATTTTATTATTTTACAGAAAAAAGACTGATGACAATCAGTGGTGGGAATTATTTGATCCGAATACATCTAGATTTTATTATTATAACGCCAGCAGTCAAAAAACTGTGTGGCATCGACCACAACATTGTGATATCATTCCATTAGCTAAATTACAGGTAAGACATAGTTTTCTTTTGCTTGTTTATTGTCACCTAAGTGGAACATGGGGAGGGGCAAGGAGGCAATCTGTTCAGTCAGCACAAATTCTGGCTACACCAATGAAGTTAACTGGATTGAAATGAGGATTAATATCTCTTCAACACAATACTTAAGACATTTTGAGACTAATATGTCAACTCTGATGTTAGAGATTCTTTTCTTTGTACAATGTGTAGATGGTTAGACCTCAGGTTTTTTTTCTCCCCAGGCACCAATTGTGAATTCTCAAAGATTGTTGCTGGTTTCAAAATTGGTTCATTCTAGTCTAGAGTCAATTTCCCTAACTACTCAACTCCCATGGTCCCCCCTATATTAAATCTTTCCAACGTATACCAGTTCTGGATTCACCAAATTTCTTGTAAAAGTAGAAAATTTCCTTCATAGCACACTGCGTGATGGATTCCCATCCTCATTGTCCCAGTTAATGCAGATAAAATAGGAGGTTAAACACCATTTCATTTCATATAAATCAGATTTTATAATTTTTCGGAACCTTCAGCCATATCCATAAATCAAAGCTGAGTATTAAAAAGGATGGTAAATTACATTTTACTCTCATGAATTTGAACAACATTGGATCAAAAACTGGTGTTTGTGGAACACCATAGCACAATTTGCTTTGCATCTATTTGAAAGCATAATTTATCCTGTTATTGCAGACTTTGAAACAAAATACAGAGGTTCGAGAGGCGGATCAACGTCGCAGAGAAAATTCTGTCAAACGTGAAATTGGAACTCAGACACCACTTTCCACACCAGTAAGATATCTTGTTATTTTCTCTTTATCTCAATTTCTTTTCTGGTACATTGCAATCAAATCAGAATGGAAATGTCTCTCAATTACAGGACCTAGTGTTCAAAGGGAGACAACTCCAGTGAGCATTCTGTATAATTCCACCTCACTTTTCTGTCTGGGACGCGGTAAAGCCTTATTATCTATTGTATACATGAATAGATAAGACTCTGCTGCACAGTATGTAAATTAATGAAATTACAGGGCATAGTGTATAAAGACAAAGGGAAGCAACTCTAATGATCATTCTGTAGAACTTTTTCGTAAATAATTTTATGGCTACTGAACTACAGACGGCATTCTATTGTGTATCGACATATTCGATCATTTAAAGTTGGTACGAACCCTTGACAGTGTGAATTTGATGAAATAACGGGGGTAACATTACACTGCTGTCCGAGCAAACGTCTCCCCCTTTCTCCTTTGTTTTACACAAAAGAATGTACATTCTTAAGAAACATTTTGAGGTCAATGACTTTTAACTTTTAATGGAAAAATTAGCTTTGATTTGACTCTAGTAGTTTAATTGTATTCAGAATGTGCAAGAAATCTTACTAATGACATTCTTGGCCTGTAACATTATCATTTGATAAAATATTGAAAGGATTTGACTGTTCCGAAATTTTTTTTTTTATGCTTGGTTAAAGAAATGAAATGAAATGGGGTTTAACCTCCTACTGTTCTGCTCTGATTGGGCTAATGAAGATGGACCTGGTTAAAGATACATTATGGCAGATTTAGATAAAGAGCTGGTCGTTCTTGCTATAATAGCTCGAAAATAGACAATGCAAAATGAATATATTGAAAATTCCATTCAAATTTCTTTATTCTGAGCCAAGTTATCACTGTTTGTAGTTTTGATTAGATGTGCACATTAATTGTTTATTAATGTAACTTTATTAATGCCGCTTATTTGAGTCTTTGCCTCGCTTCTCCATTTTTAGATTAGATCATTAGATGGCCGAACTGTTCAAATCTACTTAAGATCGGAGTCATCTGATGGCCGAGAGAGTTGATTATGGTCTTGTCATGTTAATTAATGTCGAATTAATAATTTATAAAACATTTAAGGCCTAAAGAAGACCAGGCCCCAGTTTCACAAAACATTTCAGAACTTATTCAAAATCATCCGCCTTATTTTAACTAAAATATTGTCCTTTATAAAACTTTGTTATTTTAAAGTATGAAATTAATTAATAAGAAACTATGTGCAAAGTTTTGTGTTTCTGGATCAAAGATATTTCTCATAAACAGTGATTGAAAGTTGAGCAAATTCTTAACTTAAGTCTGGGAATGCTTTGTAAAACTGGGGCCTGCTCTTGAATAATACCTCTTTAAAGGAATCTATAAGCTGTGGTAACATTGTGTCTGTTACTTCCTGAAATGTTCAGCAAAAACCTGGCAGAAAATGTTACGATTCTAAAAATTGTGAAAAAAGAGAAAGAGAGAATGGCTACATTCAGCATGAAATCGAGGCATATAATTACTAGCAGGCCTGTCACTAGGGGGGGGGGGGTGCAGGGGTGGCAAAGCCCCCCATTCAAAATTTTTCGCTCGCCCCATGTGAAAAATTTTTCGACCATAAAAAAATTGATATACATTGTCCGTCAATTTTACAGCACCCCTGAGAACACTTCTCACCCCCCTGGACCTGGTTGCTCTGAGCTAGTTACGGCCCTGATTACTAGTCTTCATCCAGCTGAGACATGCACGCTTGAACTATTAGTTTACACTTGACATTTAACTTCTTAGTTGAGGAGTGTGTTGACCGAATGGTTAGCAAGTGTGTGCTGTATCATAATAAGGTCTGTCATTGAGTCAACTGGCGTGGTTTCAATTCCCCGGTACGTGACAAGGAGTAGGGTTGCTTGTGCAACTTCATGGGTTTTCTCCGGGTCCTCCGGTTTCCTCCCACTGCTAAAGACCTCTACGAACATGCAAATTATTGAAATAAAATTTAACAATGTGTTAGTCCCAAAATGACCTAGTTTGTGTCGAGTGGACATTACAACCCATTTTTCTCTCTATCTCTTTATTTTCTTAGTATGAGTGTTAATACCACTTTAATATAGTTATTATTCATTTACAGTAACAATTAGGTAATATGAATAGCTTATCAATTACATTGTTGGTACATTTTAATATTCGGTGAGCAGTTACTTAATTAATGACGTATGAAATATAAATTGTAATAGGTTAATAATTAGGTTTGTTTGTGATGTTGAATCGTTATGACTGTAATATTATTCATTTTAACGAGCCCCTATACTAAGGATTGGTTTAATTGTTCCGTAGTCTATCCCAGTCATCCTCTAAAGAAATGAAATGGTGTTTAATGTCCTACTTCTACTCACCAACAAGGATATTGACGACTGACTTTACTACATGATGTATTCAAATGAAATGAAATGAGATTTGATGTCTTACTTTTCTTGGGAGTGTTGAGTGGCCGAATCAGAAGGTCTGTAATTGAGTCAAGTGGTGTGGTGTCGATTCCCTGCTTGTACGTGACAAGGAGTAGGGTCACCTCTCCAACCTTGTGGCTTTTCTAAAGGTCCCCTAATTTCCTCTCACTGCTAAAGACCCCTATGTGCAAAAGAATTAAAATGTAACCATATGTTAGTCCCGAAACCCCATTTCTCTCTCCCTTTCTCCGTACTTTTCTTAATCAAAAGGGATAATGAAGATAGCTTTACTATATTCAAATGAAATGAAATGGGGTTTAAGTACATGACAAGGAATAGGGTTTTCTCTGGGTCCTCCGGTTTCCTCCCACTACTAAAGACTCCTACGCACAAGCTACTTATTGAAAAAAAATTGAACTATAAGTTAATCCTGTTATGACCTAGTTTGTGTTGAGTTGACATTAAACCCCAGCTTTCTAGGCAAATATTTCCAAACCTTGCATAGAAAAATTAACCATAGAAATAAAAAGTAGTACATTTGTCTCCAAATGACCGAAGAGATTCTGTTACATTCTTGCTCTCTGTGTAATGTTGATTTCCTCTAGTTAGTTGGGCAGGACCAGGGTCCTGGTAAGGAAACCACATTTAAACGTACATTATGCAAGAGCAAAATCTGCCAATTGCAGGTCTTTCTTTAGGCCTGAAATGTTATATAAATTATTAATTAGACATTAATTAACTTATCAAGACCATAATCAACTCTCGATGGCATCGCTAGCCTGCGATATTTACTGGATTATGCTGCTTGACTTCCATTCATAATTTAATCATGAAATGGATAATCGCGACTATGTTTTTTTATCATACGGACGTTAGTAATGATGATCAAGGCTAGGCCAAAATTTCAATCGCTTAGTTCTCGGTTCATTGTGGATCAATTTGACTGAAATTTTCAGCAAATTGCCTTTACATTATCTGGTTTTTAACTATTATAGTGAGAACTGGCAGCTCTTTATCTAATCTCCCATAATGTTTCTTTAATATTTTGAATAATTGAAGTCCTGTGTACTGTTTGTTTTCATGTTGTATGATCAATTTAACCTGTACTAAGATTCACCTATTTCATGTCAGTGATTAGGTTTTTCTGTCAAATTTTCTGATTTACAAGTTACATGTGATGTGTGAATATCATAGTGATGAGGTCGAAGGTCATAGTATACGTGTGATGATACTGATGAGGAAACCAAGTGACATTACCAAGTAGAAGGTTTTCGAGTTGGTGTGAACTGGATGTTCATTTAAAGGAGATAAGTCAGAGGTCAAAATAAAGTATTGGATTGGGCCAGTTTGATTTAGTGATGGAAACAAAATCTATATGATTTAATTTTTATTTCAAAATATAAAAGATGGATTATTTAAGATTTAGATAAAGAGCTAGTTGTTCTTCTTATAGTATTTTAATAATGGATAATGGACTATGAATATATTGAAAATTACTTGTCTAGTCGTTCGGTGTGGAAGGAAAATCGATGCCGCATGTACACATTGACATGCATGTAAAGAAACCCTTGACAGAAATCGAAATAAGAGTAGGCTGTTGGCCTACATTGTATGGCATATGCCCATCTTCATTAGCCCAGTTGAAGCAGAAAAGTAGGATTTTAAAACCCATTTTAATTCATTTCTGGGCGATAGTTAAACCCCATTTCATTTCTTATCAGTGAAGTGACACTCCCTTTAAATAAAACTACTTCCATTATGATGAATCATTTTTTCCTATCAGTAGTGTGAAAGTCCCTTTAAATAAGGAAATAGTGTGGTTGTTGACGACCAGAATGATTATTAATGAGTAAGCTAGTCAGCTGTATAGAGTTAAAAGTTTATAACTGATTTATCTGAATGTCAATCTCTATCAAATACATGATAGCTAATATATACTGTATACAGAGAAAAGGTTTCACTTTTTGTTTTTGAAAGTTTGGGATTGTTAATACATATGTGTGTACATGGATCTAATTATGTAAAAAGTGTTAAAGGAACTGGGAGAAATAAATTAACAAGTTAGATATTAGTTTTCTATGGATTTGAATTTGATTTAAGAATCAAAGAATTGTTATAATTGTTGTCCAAAAAAACAGACTAAAGAAAAAAGTTAGAGATTGTGCATTAGTTTTCTGTAGATATTGGGACATTTGAAGTTGATTTCATAATTTTTCATGCTTCTAGCATATAATGTGAGCATCTGTAGAGATTTTAAAAGCTGTGTGAACTTTTAAAAAAGTGTTACTGGGTGTTCTAGAAAGAGTAAGAATAAGCTGCCACATGCACAGTACCTTGTTAACAAGCTGAAATATTGCAATATGGATGTAGACCAGTTCAATTGATTTTATAACTATAAGCTTTTTCAAAAGTGTTCTAGAGAGAATAAGCATATCATGCCTAGTGTACAGCACCTTCACGAAATAAGACAGTGATTCGTGTTTGGATATCAGAAGTCTCAGTGTAATGGTGGATCTTGATGAAAGTGATATCAGGTGTTCTAGAAAAATTAAGCATACACTGCCTCATGTACAGCACCTTAATTACTTAAGGTTAAAACAGAACAGTGATTTGGATTAAGATTTCAGTCTGGTATCAGGTTTTTCTGTAATAGAAGAATATTGAGATAGAATTCAGTGTAAGGTTGGAAATGGTTATATATAGGAATGTTAATAATTCATACTGATATGATTTATGAGAAGTCAGTGTAATTTAGTTCATTTTCATGTTGGATAGAAGAATATTAATATTCATCCTAGTAGCTGTTGTTGTTGCCAAGTTGAAATCAAAATATCTCTCATTTCTGCTGTGGTTCAATCGAAATGGATAATTATAAAAGACGGAATGTTGAGTTAATGTTGTGGTATTGTGTAGCAGTCGTATACTTACCTCTGCCACTGGCTCTGCTTTCACAATAGTGATATCACTTGTGGTGTGGTGTACATGAAGTGTTTTGTTTTTTTTAAATTTATATGTGATCAAGATTTGTATTCATGTCTTTACGGTTTAGTTACAGTTGTATTTGATTTGGTGAATGTGTGAGCCATGTTAGTATAAGTATTGTGAATTTCAATTAGATTTGTCGTGTGTTCATCAAAACTAAGATGCCTGTGCAGTTTAGAATTTTATATTATGTGGATTTGAATTGGATTCGTCGTGTGTTCATCATACCTAAGATGCCTGTGCAGTTTGAAATTCATATTATGTGGATTTGAATTAGATTTGATTTGTACTCATTAAAATTAAGATGCCTGTGCAGTTTAAAATTTAACAAGATCTGTGTAGTGTGTAATAAAATATAACAGAAATAAACGATTGAGATACGATTTAATTTGTGAAATAATCCTGTGATGAATTATGGGTACAGTTAATGCAGAACTGTTAGAAATGGATGCTATAAGTGCTCTCATCGTAACGTGGATCAGGAACTCGTCCTCTGAGTATTTTATCCTAGAAATATCACTTTGTCTTCTTGTATCTTCTGCCTCCCTAATTTACATATTTCTTTTCTTTTACCAAAAGCGACGGGAGCATAACCGTGCTGGATCACTGAAGACTACGCCCCAGACCCAGAACAGTCCACGAGTATCGAGGAAGGTATGTTGTATCTGTTGAACATTTTTTTATTATCCCCTGCCTCTTCAAGAAAGTTGAGCTCTATTAAATTCAGTTCATTCATCTGTCAGTCAGTCTGTCTGATTTAGGATTTAGCAATTCTACCTATTGGGTTAGATGCAAACGTCTGAGTTCGATGATGAGCTCAAAGCAATTTGGCCTGGTAATTACAACTGTTACTATTAAGGGTTCTTTTACGTACACGCCATTTTCCAGCGTGGTTCCACCTTGTCAGTGATGCAGGACGGATGGCCTGACAAGGACAGCTGTCTAGTCGTTCAGATGGGACGAAAAAACGAGGTTCCGTGTACATATTGGCGTGCACAGAAAAGATCCCTTGGCAGTTGGAATTCGATATAAGAGTAGGCCGTAGCGCCGCTGCCCGGGCAAAATTTCCCTCATAGCACACTGTATGGCGTATGCCCGTCTTCATTAGCCCAGTTTAGGAGCAGAACAGAAGGACGTTAAACCCTGTTTCATTTCATTTCATTTACGTACACGCCAATGTTTTTCATCCCATCCGAACGACTGTATTTGTCCCTTGCCAGACACATCTTCCTACGTCACTGACAAGGGGGAACAATAACAATTGTATCTGTACATACCAGATATTTTGCACATTGTCATTGGCCGAGAAAGTTCATCTGGATTTTCCGACGGGGTTTCCCCTTGTGAGTGGTGCAGAACGGAGGGCCTGACAAGGACAGCTGTCTAGTCCTTCGGATAACACGAAAAACCGAGGTCCTGTATATACATTGGAATGCACGTAAAAGATCCCTTGGCAGTTGGAATTCGATATAAGAGTAGGCATTAGTGCCGCTGCCCGGGCAAAATTTCCCTCATAGCACACTGTATGGCGTATGCCCATCTTCATTAGCCCAGTATAGGAGCAGAACAGTAGGACAACAGTAGGACGTTAAACCCCATTTCATTCCTTTTGTACATTGTGCCAGACATCTATTGGAAGGGGGGTTGGATGGCTGAATGGTTAGCGTGCGCGCGCTGTATCATAAAGTCTGTCATTGAGTCGACTGGCGTGGTTTCGAATCCTCGGTTGTACGTGGCAAGGAGTAGGGTCGCCTGTCCAACCTCGTGGGTTTTCTCCGGGGCCTCCGGTTTTCTCCCACTGCTAAAGACCCCTTCGCGCAAGCGAATTATGTAAATAAAATTAAACCATATGTTAGTCCCGAAATGACCTAGTTTGTGTCGAGTGGACGTTAAACCCCATTTCTCTCTCTCTCATCTATTGGAAATAGCCTTCAATACAAGGTAAATCAGTGCCAAATAAAATGAGTGACACCATACAGAGCCTGAAGTTGTACCTGACATTGTCTGTGATAGTTGCCTTATATTGTAGATATTGTAGCTTGTACGCGTGAAAAGTAGTTTTAATAACAAATATAGGTGGTTTGGATCATAAAGTCTGTCATTGATTCAAGTTCCGTGGTTTCAATTCACTGCTTGTACGTGAAAAGGAGTAGGGTCGTCTGTCCAACCTGCAAAACCTCTACATTTTAGGCCCGAAATGACCTAGTTTGTGTCCAGTGGACTTAACCCTCCCTCTTTCTGTCTGTCTCTCTCTCTCTCTCTCTCTCTCTCTCTCTCTCTCTCTCTCTCTCACACACACATAACAAATGTATTTTAGTTTGGTTCTAAATGTATTAGGTTAACAAATGTCCACAACACAAATAAAAAGTTCAATAATTAAATCTGTGATATCTGTGATTCATTGTCCGTCTAAAGTCCAAATTTTTTAAAACCCCAAACTGCTGATGTATAAAACATGTGTGAATGATCTAACAGTATAACAATCCCTTTCAACAGATTAATGAATTCTGACATTTTATACAAATACAAAATTATACATAATTATGGACGATTAAATGTAATTATGCTAGACGAATATGTTTGCTTGTTTTACTGTATTAACTAGCCGAGTTAGTTTGAGGTCGAATAATTATTAGTTGAATGTTAGCTATAGGGGAGTGCATTCCGTAATTTGGGGATCATTTTTAGTCTGTCAACTTTTTCCCACCCTTTTCACTGAGTCTGAAAATAAGGCACCTGTCAGAGATGATGTTAGGTCCAGGAATAGATTTTGTCAGACACAATTCCTCTGTCATTGTGTCATTTTGATCGAATAAATTGTTTAAGAGGTATTTAGTAACTGGACGAAAATAACACATGACACAATTATATGGAATACAAGTTACTTGTAAGATTCATTTGCTTGTTAAAGACATGAGAACCATTGTTGAAACATCTTTCAAGTAACTCGTTTCCATGTAACTTTGTCATGTGTTATTTTGTTCGAAAGAAATTGCCTTTTATTTTTATTGATAATTTTTGTGTAAAATTAAAAAGTGGCAGGTAAACGTTGTGTTCTATCAGGGCCGTAATTAGCTCAGAGCAGCGAGGAGTGCGGGAAGAGTTCTCAGGGGTGCTGTAAAATTGACAGACAATGTATACCTATTTTTTTAATGGTTGAAAAAATTTTCACAGGGGGGCGGGGGGCAAAACTTTTTGCAGGAGGGGCTTTGTCCTCCAATAGTTAAGGGCCTGTGTTCTATATGGGTAAAATTTTTAGGAAAATAACAAACTGGGATTCTCGTATGATTTATGGTTCAATTTGAAAATTTGTCAGATTTTGGCCTCCTCAGCGGATGATATAAACACGATATGATCAAAACAAACCAATAATATTAAATATTTCATGGACATTTTTTTAATCTGATTGAATCCTAGCCGGGAGATTATATATTGATTTGATTTTTCTTTTCTTAATTAGATGTCAACTTATTGATTTGAGCACCTATATTAGCTTGAAGTAAATCATGAAAATAAGAATATTGTCTAAAAAATGCAAATGACGATCATTTTCCAATAATATCAATTAATTTAGTACATGTGTTATTTTTGTTTATTTTCAGAACCGTTATGCTCGACAAGACTCCAATTCATCCCACAGTAGTTCAAGTAGACAAGAGCATGTTAATGGGGAACAACTCCGTCGTCGTGGGAGCACGTCCTCTCAGTCGACCTCCAGCAGTTATCCTCTCACAGATTCGGTTGCCGTTCCACATATCACCAGACGCGAATCATTCGAAATGCCCAATAGAACAGTTTCGTCGGAATCTCCACGACCTCAAAGGTCAAGGTCATTACATAAATCATCGAGCGCCAGTGATAGTAGCAGTGCTCACAGTCGTCAAGGAAGCTGTAGAAGATGCGAGGTGGATCAAAAGGACGATAATTATAACATCGCGCCTCCACAACATCCACAAAGACAAGGATCTTTCTCCGAACAAATCACAACCCAATATGACCAGGATGGCTACCCGACGTCACTTAGTTACGTAAGACCCGATAACTACAATCAGGATGTTTTGATTGGTCACGAAAGATTGTACAGTCCAGATCTACGCGGTCGTGACGAATATCTGGCTTTCAGTCAAGACATTGTTAACCAACAGGGAAACGTTAGTCCTATTCCCCAGAAGCCCAAACTTCGGGCTTTCCCTAGAACAAATCCAACGTACGTACACAGAACGGCACCGCATAAAAAATTGAGTTTTGATTCCGGAATGCCTGGTTATGACGTTCCATATCATGATCTGCCATTTTCTTCACACATGGGCATACAGACGTCGCAGTCTTACACGGAGAACCCGGAAACTTATATGTATTATCGACACGATCGATCTGACAGCGACACTTCTCATTCTTCACATCGAGGCTATCATATCGTACATGATCATCGCATCGACAGCCAGACGTCACAGTCGTCCAGGAATCGTGATCTATCGGACAGTCAGTCGTCCCAGGGTTCAACACGAAACATGTCTGATACACATTCTTCGCAAGGTTCGCTGCGGAACTTACAAGATAGTGCCGTGTCCGTACACGATAGTTATTCGTCTCGTGGTTCCAATAGAAGTATGGATCACAGCATGTGTCTGGATCGATCTGGCAATAACCTTCTACAGAGGTCGCTTATACTCAGTGGTTCCGAGGCAGAGAAAGACGTAGACTACGCCAACGTACCTGTGCTGCCACCTAAAACAAGCACGACAGCCACCACGACGATGTCTGGATTATACGATCAACATATTTACAGACAGATCTCAGCAGATAAAATACCTGATTATGAAGGTACGATTCATAAAATACCTGAAGGTATGATTCACAAAATACCTGATGGTCTGATTCACGAAATACCTGATTATGATGGTATGATTTATAAAATACCTGATTAAGAAGGTACAATTTATAAAATACCTAATTATGAAGGTATCATTCAGAAAATGAAAAACAGATTTGTTATAGAAAAAAGGGGTATTTTAGGTTAGTTTTAGGACCAGGGTGTTTGTGCTCAGGGGAATTTGTAATACGTGCATTGCAAACAAATGAATTGAAATAGGGGATTAACAGCTTACTGGTTAAGCCAGCATTGCTGATGAAAGGGGATCTTTAACACAAATCCAGTAGTCTACACAGAGTCTCGGTTTAGATGCTTTTGTATGCAAGACTTTCTAACAGCGGGCTACTCTTACATCTAATTCAAGTGTTCTTTAACGTGCACGCCAATGTGTACATGGGAACTCGGTTTTTCGTACCATTTGAATGACTACATGTTGTCCCTTGCCTGACACTCTGTCCTACACCACTGACAATGGGGAAGGAACCACACCGAAAATTCATGATAATCTTTCTTGACCAATAAAGGGAGTGAACTCTGACGACCAAGTTAGTGAGCCTGTTCTGAAGATGGTAAATACAATAATTTAAATGTAATCATTTCATTTTTTTTTACAGTGATAGCAGATCAGGGTTTTGAAGAATCTGACAGTAGCAGTATTTTCTCAACATCATCGCCTCGAACAATACAACCCTCACCCCCACAATATTATACATTATCAACATCTCCTCTTCATGTGCAATCCTCCTCCTCCTCCTCCCCGCATCCCCCGTCAACCTCACCACTTATCTTATTCCAACCCTCGGCTCAACAGCAGATGCTGGAGGCACACCACGCAACACAGCATAATGTTTTCCAACCCTCGGCTCAACAGCAATTGGTGGAGACCCAGCATGCATCTTTACGTCGAAAGAAACAGAATGATAAGCCCGAACCATCTGTTAGTCCCGTGATGGAGAAGAGCCAGATTTTAACTGCCGTGGATATATCTCAACAACGGCCCCAGTCAATGGTGGTGGGATCTCAGTCCGATGCTAATATGTCTTTAAGTCCAAGTACAGGATCTCTTAATAGACAGGTATGGTTGGAATTTAATATTTTTATTATACGCCCACATGGTTGTATATTGTTGTCACCTCTGCCCGTCCATACGTCCATCATCCACAATTTCTTGTTAATACTCTACATTTATTGTCCGATCTTTCTGATATTTATACATGTTGATAATTTCACATGTGTTGGAATTTAATAATTTTATTATACATGGAAATGTGGTTGTATATTGTTGTCGCCGCTGTCCGTCTTTGGGGGTTGGATCGCCGAATGGTTAGCATGTGCGTGCTGTATCATAAGGTCTGTCAATGATTCAACTAGCGTGGTTTTGATTTCCCGGTTGTACGTGACAAGAAGTAGGGTCGCCAGTCCAACGGCGTGGGTTTTCTCCAGGTCCTCCAATTTCCTCCCACTGCTAAAGACCCCTACGCGCAAGCGAATCATTGAAATAAAATTAAAACTATATGTTAGTCCCGAAATGACCTAGTTTGTGTTGAGTGGATGTTAAACCCCATCTCCTCTCTCTCTCTCTCTCTCTCTCTCTCTTTCTCTGGTTCAACATGTTCGTTGTTCTTAGGAGGTACACTTAAAGCTGAAAGCCCAACAAAGTCAAGTACAATCAACATAAAACTTGGCATGCTTGTTCTTTGCACAAGTGCGCAATTTCAATTTTGATATTTCGTCACATTTCCAAGATGGTTGTTATAGAAAGGGATTAATGGATTGATTTTATTTACAGAAATTACCATCTGAAAGTGATATAGAAAACTACGCTCAACATATGAACAGACATAAAAAAGGTTTATTTGGTAAAAAGGTTTCCATTAGTAACATGTTAACCTGGTCTAAGGTATGTAACAGTTAGATTTCTTCAGGGTTTTCAGAATTAAATGGAATACTAAATGGGGTTTAAATCCTACTTTTCTGCACCAGTGACAAAGAATTTTCTGAGTCAACACCAGGGCAGCCTGGTTAGTGTATCAGCTCCTTACTCACTCAGTTACAATGGCTCCTTTGCTGAATTATGATTGCGAAAAAAAACCCAGACATGCTTTACCATCATGAAGCCTTTGCTAGCAAGAAATGGATGATCAATAAACTAATGTGTTGAGAAACAGTCATGTCAATATTCGAGATGATCTAGAGTGCATTGTATGTGAATTCAAATTTTCAAAATATCTGTTTTAATATAGGGTGTTAGATGGCCGAATGGTTAGTGCGTGCGTGCTGTATCACAAGATCTGTCATTGAGTCAACTTGCGTGGTTTCGATTCGCTGCTTGTACATGACAAGGAGTAGGGTCGCCTGTCCAACCTTGTGGGTTTTCTCCGTTTCTTCAGGTTTCCTCCCACAGCTAAAGACACCTACCCACAGTATTGAAAAAAAATTAAACCCCATTTCTATCTCTCTCAAATTTTGACAAAATCTGTTTTAATATGTAATATTTTTGAGTGTTATTATTGTAGATGATGTTTTAAAGTTATGTTTTAAAGTTATTGTTGTTGGTTTGTTTTCTAGGATCCAATACAGAAGCCGATGTTAAGAACTAATGATAAACTTGCGAAGAAAGAAGCTTGTGAAGTCTTTAAATATATCCTTTTATTAATCCCCACCCCCCCACCCCACCCCCAAAACCATGAAAATACTTTAAAATGCAGTATTAAGGATTGCTATTGATTATTTCACAGGCCTGTTAAATTTTGCATGAGGGAAATAACTTTTGAAAAAGTGACTGTAAATTGCACTTTCTAGAGTAGAGTATAGCCTGATGTTTGCTGCTTATGCACAAATTTAGCGTGTGGCAATCTTAACAATTCATCAAAACCAACGTAAATTCAAACATTAAAGATACATTTTGGAAGATTAGATAAAGAGCTGGCAATTCTCACTATAATAGTTAAACACTAGATAATAAAAAGGGAATATGCTGAAAATTTCAGTCAAATTACTCCACCCTGAACGGAGATATTAGTGATTGAATTTTAGGCCTAGCCTCGATCATCATTACTAAAGTCGGTACGATAAAAAACATAGTCTTGATTATCCATTTTTGGATTTAATCATCAATGAGCGTTGAGCAGCAGATCGGATTCAAATCCAGTGAAAATCTTTCATATCAGATGGCATCAAGAGTTGATTAAGGTCTTTTCATGTTAATAAATGTCTAATTAATAGTTTATATAACATTTAAGCCCTAAGGAAATACCTGCAATAGGCAGATTTAGCTCTTGCATAATGTATGTTTAACTTCTCTTAGTGCCTCTGAGCCTACCCTGATAGGCTCATTCCCGGTCCATCCCAGATTTTAAGTGTTATCCTTAATAAACTTACTGATACAGATGTATATGGGAGACAGAAAATCAAGAATAGCATCGAATGCTGTAGCACTGGAAATTGTAACAAAAGGTTGGACAGCTCCTGCTCTACGGGATGAAATATTTATACAATTAACTCGACAAACCACAGAAAATACAAAAATGTAAGTTGATCAGTTAAAATGATGCACTAATTTAAAATGAAGACTGAATTTGAATAAGATTGAAATAGAATAACGTGGAAACTGGACATGGACATATAAACCAGCGATTGCCGTGCAAAACACGCCCACATTTTCAAGAGATGGACGGAGAATGAGCTAAAAATAAATGTGATTTTTTTTGTACAATCAGGTGTCATTATCCAGGAAAAGCCTTATACTCTTCTAGAGAGTTCACAAGCTTAGTATTACATACTTTTACACCCTTTGCTTACAAGGAGCAGCCATTTTGTTGGGCAGATTCGGTCCGATTTTCATGAAATTCGAAAATCATATTCTAGTTCTCAGATAATCCAGTGTTACTTGAAGTTACAGGAAGTAATTTGAATGAATAAAAAAGTGCGACATGGCTTATTTATCAAGTACTCAAAACTTATTTATTCCAATTACACTTTGGATAATTGGTGGATCCCTTAATCAAACAAGCACCTTTGGAACCATTCATTTGGTGTTTAGGCGCTATATAAATAATTTAATGTTTAATGTTTAAAGTCTTTTAGCTCACAATAAAATCACAAAAATAAAAACCTCCCTCCGGCTTCAGCTTTTTGGTAAGGATTGTCCGAGAGCTAGAATTTTTTTTTTCTATGGCCTGAGACTGAAATTTAAACAGGATAAGATTGGACCAGATTTCAGGATAAAAGAAAATTATAAATATTCATTTAAACTTTTGATTGTTAGCTATGGCCAATTTTTTTCTATATTTCAAGTTTTTTTTTATGTTTTCCATTAAACTAATATTTTGTTTCTTTCAGTGAAAGTTTACAAAGAGGTTGGGAATTACTTGGAATCTGTTTATATTTTTTCCCGCCAACATTACGATTTTATTCGTACTTGGACGGATTTATCTCCCGACATTTAGATTATACCTGTGATATTCCTGGTGTAAGTATTTATTTTAAATTTGATTTCAATGTTTTGGACTTTTTGACAATTATTTAGATTTTTGACAGTCTTCAGAGACTGGCTGTGAATATGACAGAATGGAGAACTTAAGAAGTTAAATAAAATTAAATAACTGGCTGGCAAACTTTTGAACTGAAAGCCCAGGGGTATTCTGATCTACCCACCTAGAATCATGTATGATAAAAAGCTCTAGGAAAAGGGAGGTAATCAAACTAGGAACTAAAGTACATTTGTATAAATGTAATGAAATGAAATGTCCTACTGTTCTGCTCCGAACTGGGCTAATGAAGACGGGTCACATTGTATAAACTGTGCATTTCTCTTTTCGGTGTAAAGTTTAATTTTGAGTTGAGTTTAGTAATAAATGAGATTTATCTTGATATTTCAGTTACAGGTACCTATCAGCCATTTCGCAATATTATGTCAGAGACGATTAAACAGGGCCTTACAAACTGGGGCTAAAAAAGGTGTTCGTAAACCTTCCATTGATGAAGTTGAACAGGCAAAGGTAAGAATCTGATTTCATTATTTGTATATATGGTATGAGAAATGCAGTTTATCATTTTACCTATCTGTTCAAAGCTAATAAAGATGTGAATACACAATATAGTATCAAGGTATAATTCGCATGCTGCCATTGGGTATACACAGGACCTTAGTTTTTGTCCGGGGGGTTGGATGGCCTGTCATTGAGTCAACTGGCGTGGTTTCGAATCCCCGGTTGTACGTGACAAGGAGTAGGGTCGCCTGTCCAACCTCGTGGGTTTTCTCCGGGTCCTCCGGTTTCCTCCCACTGCTAAAGACCCCTATGCGCAAGCGAATTATTGAAATAAAATTAAACCATATGTTAGTCCCAAAATGACCTAGTCTGTGTCGAGTGGACGTTAAACCCCATTTCCATCTATCTCTCTCTCTCTAGTGTTGTCCCATCCGAATGACTGGACACTTTATCTTGCCTGGCCTACCATCCTGCTTCACTAATATTGACAGACCAGGCTGATAAATAGAGTTTTATTCAGTGAAATGAAATAGGGTTTAAGCTCCTACTTTTCTGCACCGACTGGGCTTATGAAAGAAATTTTGATCAGACTACAGCCTTACAGCCTTATTTCAAATTCCAACTGTCAAGGGATCTTTTTAAGTTCACGCCATTGTGTACACAGGACCTTAGTTTCTGTTCTACCCGAACGACTGGCTACTGTCCACACCAGGTCCTCCATCCTACACCACTGACAAGGGGAAACCACTCCAGAAAATCATGAGGAATTTTCTTGGTCATACATAGCCGTATTAAAGGAGAGAAGTTTTTTAATTCAATATCATCCACAGTCTTGGACATTGCAAACACATCTTACTGGTCAATTTAAATCAACAATGATGTTGTGATCTTACCGGGAAAAGATGGGCTTCTGATATCCATTATTAAGACAAAACTAATCGTATGAAGCGACTCGATGAACAAAGCTAAATATATCTCATGTAGGAGAATACTACCCGTGTAGACTGGAATAACCAGACGCCAAAGACTGGCATTCAATTTAGACTCTTCGTATATTTCGCCGAACAGAACTGATTAGAAATTACAGTTTATATATAATCATATTACCGGTACATTAATATATGCGTTGCGACCCATTTGTGTCCATTTCTAGGTGACAAAGAATAGTGATTTAGAGAATTATGTATATCAAAGAATGTTCCACGGTTTGTCTCGAGAAAGAATCCAAACTTCAAATGTTTATTATTATTTACAGAAATCAATATTTCACCCATCAATGTTTGGTAGTTGTTTAGAAGACGTGATGATCATGCAGAAGGAACGTTATCCAGAGAGAGTGTTACCATGGATACAGACTATACTATCTGAGGAAGTTCTCAGACTAAATGGTGCTAAAACGGAAGGAATTTTCAGGTATTGACATTAGTTGTAAAAGTCAGTCTTGGACAAATTACGGTTTTGAATTTGCTGTTTTGGTCCCAAAATGTAAAATAAAAGAAGGGTTGACATAAAGGCGAATTCAAAACAGTTTGTCCAAAACAATTTAATTTTTAGTTTTTCAGCAGCTTCATAAACAAATAGTCCCTTGAGTCTTATGAACAATGTTTCAAAACTTAAAACTTTTTGAACCATCAAGGGTAGCTGATAATCTATGATTAATTGGTTTGCTAACTGATCTGAAGTATGGAGACAGGCCTTCACGTTGGAGGTGCATTTTTACTCACATGTCAAATTTCGCACGGCTTAATCAACGTTAAATACTAAGTATTCAGATTGATTATTTAGCAAAATTAAACTAGATAGTCTCCCGGCTTGGATTCAGTTGGATTTAAACTAGATCCATCAGGTTTCTCTGTAACCAATAAAAGATGGTGGTATCTTGTTACTAGGGATCAGCATAGATTGTTGAAATTTGAATTTATCATAACTTTGTTAATACTGAACAGAATTGAACCATTTTTGGATCGATATTCCTGTTAGAGATTAAACTTTCACAGTATGGTAGTTTGAAAGTGATGTGTATATAGCACCAAAATATTTACTTTTATCTTCTATATTATACAGCTAACCTGGCTGTTTTGTATATTTTGTTTATTATACAGGATACCTGGCTATATTATATAATCTGTTTATTATACAGGGTACCTGGAGATATTGATGAAGTCAATGCCTTAAAGATAAGATGTGATCAGTGGATACTACCCTCTGACTGTCCTGATCCTCATGTCCCGGCATCACTATTAAAACTCTGGTATCGTGAGCTGTATCAGCCCTTAATACCCTCAGAGTTTTATCAAGAATGTATAGATAATTTTGCTGATCCTGAAGTCGCCATGAGTATCGTTAATCGCCTTCCAGAGATGAATCGACTGGTCTTGTGTTACTTGTTAAGATTTCTGCAGGTAAATACGGTTGTTTAATTTTCACACAATGGTTATTCGCCTGTTCTGGTTACAGGGCTGAATTTACTGATCATCAAGTAATTATATCATTTTGGCCTATATGTATTCCAATATATGATCAGTTGAATAAATGTTTTCAAATAAATGATATGAAATAGGGTTTAACGTCCTACTTTTCTGCACTGACTGGGCTCATGAATACAGGTATCTTTTTCAATGGCATTTGGTAATTGAACTGACAATAATACTCAGTTGAAAATTCTGTTGAATACGATTATTGTCTATTTCTATGTTTTGACTAGGCTTCATTAGTTTCTATCAAGCCCTGTCTAACCTCGTGGGTTTTCTCAAGGTCCTCCGGTATCCTCCCACTGCTAAAGACTCCCATTATTGAAATAGAATTACACCATATGTTAGGCCCGAAATGACCTAGTTTGTGATGAGTGGATGTTAAACCCTATCTCTCTCTCTCTCTCTCTCTCTCTCTCTCTCTTTCTCTCTCTCTCTCTCACATAAAAGCAATAACTGTTTATTATTTTGTCCAGCTTTTACAAGGATTCTGTGGTCTTCGTCAAGCAAATGATATAATTATAAAAACAATATAATTTTGATTATTTTCAGGTTTTTGCTGCTGTTGAAAATGCGTCTGTTACTAAGATGGATGTGAATAATTTAGCCATGGTGATGGCGCCAAACTGTTTGCGTTGTGAAAGTGAAGATCCCAAAATCATTTTCGAAAATACACGAAAAGAAATGGGATTTTTACGGACATTAATCCAACATTTAGATACAAGCTTCATGGAGGGTGTCGTATGATTCTGGTTAAATGGTGAATAGGAAATTAATTCTAAATATGTTCAGTTTAACCGTGACTAATTTTGTTTCTTCTGGTTTTATTTGGATGAAATTGTTTTCGATTTCGAAGAAGATTTGAAAATTAGCCAAATCAGTCATTTCTCTTGGTGGGTATAATGTATGACAGGATGAAAGGAGCTATATGTAAAGGAATTACTTCTCTTACCAGTTGTTTATGACTGGATGAAAGAGGTTAAATGTGAGGCAGCCTTTTCACTTGTTTGCTATTTATGACTAGATGAAAGGGGCTATATTAGATTAGAATAAAACTGTTGGATGGTAATAAGTCAATCATATTTTATTCATAAAGAAAGTCAGACTGGATGAAAAGTGCTTATGGATCATACATGAAAGATTATCCAGTGGATGTCATTAATGTAATAATTACTGGAGTATAATGTGCTTTCAGTTGAGAACATTTAAAATTTCTGATTCAACTTTATTCATTTTAAAAAATCTGCATAATGGAAGAAAATATCTGGGGATGAAATGAGAAGAGGATTCAGTGGTTTAGCTTTAAGATTCGATAAGACTGTTTGTTGGTCCAATATTTAATTAACTACTGGATTAGTCAAATTATGTACGGGAAGCTTAATTATTTTGTACTTTTCAAATTACGTCCTGGGAGTATTTTGGACTACTCAAATTTGAGTCCGGGGACTACTCAAAATAAATCCTGGAAATATTTTGGACTACTCAAATTATATCCTGGAAGTAGTTTGGAATTTGGATTACTCAAATTAAGTCTTGGGAGTATATTGGACTACTCAAATAAATCCTGGAAGTATTTTGGACTACTCAAATTATATCCTGGAAGTATTTTTACTACTCAAATTATATCCTGGAAGTATTTTGGACTACTCAAATTATATCCTGGAAGTATTTTGGAATAATCAAATTATATCCTGGAAGTATTTTGGACTAATCAAATTATATCCTGGAAGTATTTTGGACTAATCAAATTATATTCTGGAAGTATTTTGGACTACTCAAATTATATCCTGGAAGTATTTTGGACTACTCAAATTAAGTCTTGGGGAGTATTTTAAGCAGAATGAGAATTGTGTGAAATATAATTCTGTGCTAAGTTATTAGGACAAAAAGATTCAACTGTATTTCTCAAATGGAATAAAAAATGGCAAGAGACATGGGAATGGAATGGAATAGAATTAAAAAATAGCTAAAGAACAAAAGAAATGACATATTTACGAAGCATTCATTTTCGAAACTGGATTATTACAAGACATGGTTTTTACTACGAAAGTGAAACAAATTTTGTGAGGGTTTTACTGAACCTAAAAATTATTTACATTTTTTTTTCTAATCTAAATTTATTTATTATATTTTAATTGTATTATATGAACCACTTGGGTCAATTATAAAATATATTGTTTCTACTCATCAACATTCTCACATATTATCGTAGACCAAGAAATTAATGCTATGATGAAATTAATACAAACAAGAAATTAATGCTATGGTGAAATTAACACAAATAAGAAATTTATGCTATCATGAAATTAACACAAATAAGAAATTAATGCAATCATGAAATTAACACAAACAAGAAATTAATGCTGTCATCAAATTAATACAAACAAGAAATTAATGCTATCATGATTTTAATACGGGCAAGAAATTAATGCTAACATGAAATTAATAGAAAAAGCTAACATGAAATACAGAAAATTAATGCTAACAAGAAATTAATGCTATCATGAAATTGACACAGAAAGTAATTAATGCTAACATGAAATTAATATAATCAAGAAATGAATCTATATATATATTTCTGACTGTTGTTTGTGTGTTTGAGATTTAGCGGCTAAACTAGGGCTATCCCCAGGCTGAAATTTTGGGGTAAAAGGTCAGCTCGGGTCGGGGGAAGGAGTAACATAGGCTGAGCGTCGGTGCACAACCACTTTCGATTTCAAAATTATGTTTCTTTCAATTTAAAGATGCATTATGTAAGATCTAAATCTGCCTAATACAGGTTTTTTGGCTTCAAATGTAATATCAATTATTATTTAGACATATATTCACATGACTAGCCTATGCCCGGTATTCAACTCACTAGAACACCAGATGGCACTGTGTAAACAGATTAAAATCAATTGCCATTTAATGATTTACTTTAAAAATGGAGAAGCGAGGCTGAGTCTCGATTAACAAGTAAAGTGTTGCTACGATAATAAACACTCTATGTCTAAACTTCAAACAGTGATAACACCGCTCTGAATAAAGTACTTTGAATGAAATATATTAATATTAATTTTGAATTATCTAGTTTGGAACTATTATAGCAATAACTGTCGGCTCTTTATCTAAGTCTTACATAATGCATCTTTAAGGAAACTTCTATTAGGAAGTTTCGGAGATATAACCCGTTCAATGCTGGATAAACAACTAGTATTAAGTGTATAAGGGCTGTGCGAGCCAGGAAGGTGGTGACATAGGCCGGGTGGCATTGCACAATCATTTCTGATTTCGAAGTTAGACTTACCTTCCTACCTATTAGGAAGTTTCAGAGGGCTCTACCTGGATAAGCAACTAGTAGCAAGATATATTCGCTCCATACATTCAAGAATTTTATACGATCAAAATTAGAGTTTAATATGTATTGAAATTGTACCCTACCTCTGATATTTATATTGCACCCAAACCTCCCCATAAGATAGTATTAATTTCATGACACATTAAATCCTTGTTTTACAATATTTATCTCTTTGATTCACGCATCCATCGTTCATTGTTATTATCATATAAATAAATATACCGACTCTCAGTTAACCCTTTAACCGTCAGATGTTCCATATGAAACATTTTGCATATTCAGTTTTGCAGGTTATGACCTATAAGTAAAGATGACAAAAAATGTTTAATATTTTATACCACTGAATAGAGGAATTCAAGATCTTTCCAAAAATATATGCATTTTTATGATTTATTCATAAATTTAAAGAGTTACTGGATATATTCTTATTGCTTTTCCTAATCGAAACCCCAAAACAATCCTACGGTTAAAGGGTTAATGGAGTTGAATGTCTCATCAACAATACTTCGATCATTTTGAAACAAACATATGATCATTTTTTTTTATTTCAATGGTTACGCTTGCAATGGAAGGTTGGAGAGTTTTGCTTGGACATTGACATTTTCTCCTATTCTTACCCAATTTCTAATTGTACATGGGTGGATTTCATTTTTTTTTTGTGCCATCCGGACAACTACATGTACTCAATTCAATATGTCTCTTTGCATTAGTTTATTTGACTTTCCTCTAAAACGACAGCAGCTATGACTCAGATTTTGTGATTACACTTTTCAAACATTATCTAGGGATATTCTCGAAACCCTTAGAATCTCAGACTAATTTTTACTAGGCTTTATCAAATGATAATTCATTTGCCTGAACATAGAATTTTACAACAGCAGCCATAAAAAGTGAAGTCTTAGTTCATGGGATGTAAGATTAGCTAAATGTTGTTTCGAAATTGAAGTCAAATAAATTAATTTCTATTTTTGTCTCAAAAGACAGCACTTGATTGATATCACTATTATATCTGCATTGATATTTTAAAAGATAAAAAACCCTTTTCATGCGGAAAATAAAACCAGTTGTGTAAAATGTTTTTTTTTTTCGAAAAGCAAGCCTTACCATTTTAAAGTTTAGATCTTTGTGGATACCTATTAATTATTTTGATTTTATTTCTTTGGGAAAAAACTAATTTAAAAACAAAAACGATATGGTTGCTTGTCACGTAATCTTTCAGTTCCAAATTTTTAAGTTCTGAAATTTTAAACAAAACTTTGCTTGAGATACAAATATGGCTATTTATTTTTCAAAACCACAAAGAACTAAGAATTAAATTAATTTAGCTTCTGATGTAATTGATTTTTTATGAAAGACAATGCCACATTTTGTGGAGATGTGTTAGTGATGTCAATCTTGTGTTGTGTTAAATATACCATATTACCTCCCTTAATAGAATATTTTCACCCTTAATTATACAATAATATCTAAGTATATTTATTACTATATGCCAGTATATTACACAGCTTATAAAATTTAGTTTGATTATTAAAGGTTGTAATTAAACAAGAAGTATTGATACCCAAGCCTGGATAGAAGTCACTTATCATAGACCTTGTATATGTGTGATAATTTGTACTGGACAAAGAAGTCTATGACAGGTGCCTTATGTCCAGGTTTGTGGATACCAGTTGTCATAATATTGAAAAATAAGATAGGGTATGAGAGAAGTCGGTTTGCTCCCCAGGCAAAGTCAACTTCTTGCAGCCGACAACAAATAATGCCAACATCGATTTTCAAATACAAAGCACACAATACGTGAAACTGCTCAAGATAAGTAACACATCTTTTATTTAAATATTGGATAAAACTGTCACATTTATAAATCAGTGCTGTGTCCCTCTGACTGAGGCCTATCCTAGTATGAGGATACACATACAACTGTGATGTGGCAGTCTAATAGGCCTGATGGTAGCACTAGCCCATGGATATGAGGATAATAAACACTTTGTTATATTGAAACACAGTGGTGTGTCCATGCAAAAGTTTTGCTGTGTAGATAGGTCTCTGTGTGTAGAAAAGGGCGTGTGTGACCTGATCTTGGTTAAATGATATTATTATTATTCTACACAAAATTTATTATTAAAATATTGATCTTGGCATTAAGCTTTAGATATAGTCCTCTTATTTATTTCTACACATTAAAAAAAATCTTTAACCAAATATTTGTAACACCAAAGATTTCACGTCTTATTTACATCAAAGATTCATTGTGGAGTAAAATGTTTGAGAATGTGGGTGTGGTTCTATCTTGTAGAAATACACAAAGCATAGAAAAAAAGCATTTCAGGAAGAAATTCCATTTTGTAGATATTCATAGCCTGTGAATTAATGTAAATGTTCTCACATCACCCTCTTATCAATTTATGGTGTGTGTCTTGTTGTCATGACAACGGTCTGTAACATATCTTTATTACTCTTGATGGAAAACTAGGGTGCTGGTAGAAATGCCACTAAAGGATCACTCTCATAACTAGTTTGCATGTTATTTGCAGCATTGAGATAGACAGGCATGTAATGTGTAATCGTATAGCAATTTTGATTGACTGCATAATCAAACTCAGTTTTTAGGTCAAATAACACATGGAATGTCCTTGTTGTTTATCAGGGCAATCATCTAGGATCAATGATTTATTGAGCCAGTGATATGTTCAATCTGATTAAAATACAGATCTATATTTCGTTTTGTTTTTTTATACTTTCGATGGCCTACACTACATAAAGATCTGACAAGTTATAGCCATAGGTCACGTCAGGGGTCAAAAGACCGACTTATAACCTTATGACGTCAGGCATTTGATTAACTTATCAGCATTGATGTTACTAGTGGATTACCCACAGTTCCGTGAAAAACACGCCTAAAGCTCGCCGTAACAGACCGTTTCATTGGCTTATCCCTGACACCATTCAGAACACGAGTTGAATAACAACTCTTCCAGATCCAAGTGTAGTAAAGACAAGTAAAACGAAATTTTGAACTATAAAAACGAAACGAAATAGGATCTGTGTTTTAACCAGATTGATGATATGTTATTATGATGTTATTCTAAAAGCTCCAGTACCTGACATGTAGGTAGAAATCTCCGCACCTAATACAATCACAGTTTTATTAAATAAAAGGATTGTAATAATGATATGTCATAGACCTTTTACGTTTTGTCCACAATTCTGACTTTTAACGTTTTGTCCACAATTCTGACTTAAACTTTTTGTCCACAATTCTGACTTTTTGTCCACAATTCTTTTTTAATGCATTATTCTAAATTCACCATTAATTGACTCTAAAAATATAAGATATGAAATTATCAAATGATTAGTTATTCCTTGTTTTGTGCAATACATGATATGTGGATATTTTTATTTTTGGTGGGTGGGGTGGGGGTATATATATCAAGCCTGGAAATAATGATTTTAGTTAGGCACAAATGTGAGAGAAATGGGGTTTAATGTCCACTCGACACAAAGTAGGTCATTTCAGGACTAACATATGGTTAAGTTTTATTTCAATTCTAACTGTGGGAGGAAACCGAAGAAAAACCTGAGGTTGGTGTTGGACAGACGACCCTACTCCTTGTCACATATAAGCTGGGAATCGAAACCACGCCACTTGACACAATGACAGACCTTATGATACAACACGTTAAATCACTAGACCGCCAAAACCCCCCGACCCGAATACAAGGTATCAATAAAAACAAAGAAAAGACAAATCTATGTCCTGACAAAATGACAGGCATCAGAGAGATTATGCCTGACAGTCCGTGACAGATGCCTTATTTCCAGGCTTGCCATATAAATCCATGCTGTAATTTATCAGAGCTTTGTAAACAACGCTTAGTTAATATTATTTATATATCATAATGTACATTTTTTTTGACGCATAAATAAGAGTTCAGAATTCTGAAACAAAATGAAACCATGTATGATGATTGATTTGAAATGTTTTGGTCTTTTGGAATGAAATGAAATGGGGTTTAACATCCTACTGTTCTGCTCTAATGAAGATGGGTGATCTTTTAAAGGAACTACCCTTAATATGTACAAGTATTAACTGACTTTACAAAATTTTGAAATGAGAGCACTTTGTTTAGGAAACTAAAACTTTATATCCAATTCTTGATATCAACACTTTTATTTTTTACTTAAATGAGACCCAAGATAAATTTCGGGTGATTTAATAAGTCGCTTAATATTTTATCTTTGATAAATCATTTTGTAAAACTAGGGAATTATTTTTGCCTAAAATTTTAATATGCCCCCTTGTTGTTGATTTGATTATCACATTTTTAACGACTTTCTGGTTAAGATTTGGGCGTTGACATCTTGATGTACTTTGTGAAATATCTTGGTGAGAAACAATATTCATGCATGCAAGCTAGCACCATAAAAAAGTGCCATAATCAAAAGATAATTGTCTTTTAAGTTTGTATTATTGTTTGCAAGGTCAACTGTTTTCAAGTGTCTCATGTACAAAATAAATTGTGACCTTATTTATAGTTCCCAAAGAAGAAATGACATCAGGTTTTCTAGAAAGAGTAAGCATTCAAAACAAATTAAAACTTTAAAGGGGAGACAACTTGTAATCTATGTTGCTGACATTTTGAATTGTATAGAATTTAAACCAAACATTAAAAGGGTATTACATGTAGGTGTTCTTATAAATGTAGACATATGCACTAAATAGAATTACTAAGGGGAGACAACTACAAATCTTATTTTCCCAACATTTTGAATTGTACAGAATTTGAACCAATCATTATTGAGTTTAAAAATAGGTATCAGATGTTCTACAAAGTGTAGACAAGTCTGAATCTATTTTCCCCAAAATTTTGAATTGTACAGGATTTGAACGAATCATTATTGAGTATAAAAATAGGTAAGCCTATCAAATGTTCTACAGAGGGGAGACGAGTATGAATATATTTTCCCTAAAATTTTGAATTGTACAGGATTTGAACGAAATCATTATTGAGTTGAGTGTATAAATACCATGTGTAAAATGTGTGTATATCTGTTTTAGTTGATATTGTATATATTATATATATATATATATATTAAATATATAAATTGTGAACTTAATGTTTATTGTGTATCCATGGAAACTGCGAGTGATTAATTACGCACTTTTCATGAATGTGGTTTATTTTTTGTCATTATGGAATGAAATGTCTGAAAAAAATGTCTTAGATTATCACTGAATATTTTTGACAGGTTTTATTCTTCATACAAAACATATCTAAAGTGTTTGTTTTGTTGATATAGATAATTATGTAAGAACTGAAATTATGTGTACGTGGTTTGTAGATTAAGTACATGAAAGGAATTAAGGAGATTATTATACTCAAATTCATATATAATTCAAGTGGCATTATCACTCTTGAAAAAATAAATAGTATAAAATTTTAATATTATATTCAAGTGGTATTACTCTGAAAAAGAAAATAAATAGTTAACTTCTAATATAATATTCAAAATAACCTTAAAACTCGCCTATAAATTCAAGTGGTATTATCATTCTCAAAAAGAAAATAAATAGTATAAATTTTTAATATTACATCATGTATAATCAAAATAACCTTAAAACTCGCCTATAAATTCAAGTGGCATTATCATTACCGTAAAAGAAAATAAATAGTATAAATTTTTAATATTACATCATGTATATTCAAAATAACCTTACAACTTGCCTATAAATTCAAGTGGCATTATCATTCTCAAAAAGAAAATAAATAGTATAAATTTTTAATATTACATGTATATTCAAAATAACCTTACAACTTGCCTATAAATTCAAGTGGCATTATCATTACCGTAAAAGAAAATAAATAGTATAAACTTTTAATATTATATTCAAGTGATATTACCACTCTTGAAAATAAAATAAATAGTATAACTTCTAATATTGTATTCAAAATAAACCTTGAAACTCACCTATAAATTCAAGTGGTATTACCACTCTTGAAAAGAAAATAAATAATATAAACTTTAATAATTATATTCAAAATAACTGTAGACTTGCCTTATTCCTCAAAAATCCAAACACAGAATGATTTGGCATTGGGACACTTTTGGCAAGCATTCGTTAAACTCTTTGAAAACCACTTAAGAATTTGTACGATTCATAAGTTGAAAGTTAAGAATTGTATAATTCAATGATGGGTTGACTGATAGGTCTCAAATATTTCACACAATCCGATTTGGGTAACCTGATAATCTATTCAAGTCAAATAGACAATTAGTTATTTATTACCTCTTTAAATATTCATCTGGATCAATGAATTGAATCTGAATCAATCATTTCAATAATATAAAATACGCATAATCAAGTTATAATTTTAACAAATGCACTAAAAATATGAATTTACAATCAACTTACATGTATAAAATACCCACATACGTATAATATAATATTTAGTGGTTCTATTCATTAAATACAATATTAGTTTGTTTAAGAGTGAGAAAATGCTGTCCTATTTTTAAAGAGAGAGGCAGAGAGAAATGGGGTTTAAGTCCATATCTCACAAACAAAAAATCATTTTGGCACTAACATAATGTTTAAATTTATTTCAATATTTCGCTTATGCGTAGGGGTCTTGAGCAGTGGCAGGAAATCGGAGGAACTGGGAATAAACCCACGAGGTTAGGAAGGTGACCCTAGTCCTTGTCAAGTTGAAACCATGTGTTAGAAAACTCGACCACCGGACCACACCCGCCTAGCTGTGTAGTTATTTGAGAACATGTGTATAATGTTCAATTAATTTATATCACTCATAATACCTGCATTAACAACCCCAATGATAATTATTACTTGATATCCAAGACTGATTATAATAATGACATGATTAACCAGTATTTATTGTTTAATAATGATAGTAGATTAGTTGTTTTGACAGAATTAAATTTCTGTTAATTTTATTGTTTTTATCACCACATATCATTTTTTTTGTTTCTTGAAAAAAAAAATAGAAAATCTCTTAAATAAAAAGCAAGGTCATTAAGAAACTTAAAGGTCACTGGAAAGGATCAAATATTTTTTGAATAATGCAAGTAATTATGTCAAGATATCCTTTCCATAAATATAACCCGAACCCGAATGTCAATATTACCTGCAATAGGTAAATTTCAACGTTAGTTATTTCCACCGTTCTCCGTGAGTAGTTGTAACTTTCCGTCAATAAACAAATCGTGACGTCGTTTTAGTCCTTCTCATATTATAGTCTATATTTCTATGAGCAGAAGGACCAAAATGACATCACAGGTTGTTTATTGACGGAAGTTACGACTACCCATGGAGAACGGTGGAAATCGCTAATTCTGAAATTTACCTGTTGCAGGTAATATTGACATTCGGGTTTGTGTTATGCTTATGGGAAAGATATATTGACAAAATTCCTTCCATTATTTAAGAAATTTATGAAGCTTTACCGATGCCCTATAATGTTCCTATCATATATATCCTAACACCCATTCTCAGCATTAGTAATGATTACCTAGCTAGGTGTGCAGGTGATCGAAAGGATGGGTTTCTAACAAGTTAATAACAACATGCTACCACAAATGAAGCATAAATGAGTATTTTTAAATGTCAAGCATGTAAACACTTTTAACTTTCACAAACAGTTTTGAATCTTTGAAACTAGTTTTGACTCATGTATATACATGTATATGGCTTTGACTTGTCTTAAACAGGTTTTAACTCATATCGTTTTGACTTGTCTTAAACAGGTTTTGACTCCTGTATATATGGTTTTGATTTGTGTTAAACAAGTTTTGACTCGTGTATAATATATAGTTTTGACTTGTTTAAACAGGTTTTGACTTGTCTTGAACAGTTTTGACATGTCTTAAACAGGTTTTGACTTACGTATAAACAGTTTAAATCTTGTGAATTAATTTGAATTGTTAACAAGCTTTTAAAATTGCTTAAAAAATTTCTGAATTACGTTCAACATTTTATTACAAAGATAGTATTGTGAACATATAGTATAAAAGTACATTAAAGCGATGATATTTAATGATGACAACACCATGGTAAAATTGTATAATATATATATGTATGATTATATGCGATAGATGTTCTCTCACCACAATATTCTCTATTTGTTTATTTCATTTTGTTTATTTTAATCATTTCTTTGTGTATCATTGTAAATCAGTATAATTTATGACCAAATAAATTTATCAAAAATACCAAATATTTGCTTTAAATTTTATTAAATTTTGGTATGGGTGTGGTTTACAGGCAGTTTGCAGGTACATGTACTCGATCATGTGTCACTTGATGTTTTGTACCACAACTTGAAATGGGGTTTAACGTCCTACTATTATGCACCAGTTGGGCTAATGAAGACGTGCATACAGGGAGTGCACAAGTACATATACTCATGTGCCACTTGAAATGGGGTTTAACTGTTAAAGGGCCTACTTTGCTTCACCATCTGGGCTAAGGAAGACGGGCATAGGTCATACAGTGTGCTATGGGGGATAATTTTCCCAGACAGCAACAGCACTACAGTCTACACTTTTTTCGAATTCCATCGGTCAAAGTTTTTTTTACGTGTACTCCAATAAGTACGCAGGACCTTTTTTTTCCGTTCCATCCTAATGACTAGACACTGCTCCTTGTCAACCTCTCCGTCCTCAACAACTAACAAACGGAAGATACGCTGGAAAATCTTAAGAAACTTTCTCGGCCAACACCGGGAGCGAACCCGAGGCCTCTGAGTTAGCGAGCCAGCCTCTTACTCACTAATTACCATCATTAAAATTTATATTTTGCACCAAGATCCTAGTGAGCTAAATCAGAGGTGTTTTCAGAATGTCAGGGGGGGGGGGGTTCTGATTTATAAACAGAAGTTTTATGGAATTTTCACTAGTTTGTCAGTAACTCCTGCACAGTGGCACAAGAAACCGTTGGTCAGCAAAAGCTAGCCTATATTTTGTCAACCCACATTTTTCGAGCGATCTTTTTGATGTATGTTCTCATCTCATTCATCACTGGTCACTTTAGATTCACCATCTCACAAATGAAAGTTTGCAAACGGTGGTAATTACTCCCCCGCAAAATTGCGATATAGTTCGAATACGATCTGGGAAGCCCAATTGTCCTTTGGGAGTACTAACTACGATGTGCCTAGTTTCTGAAATTAGACACGCCCTCCATCTTACATCTCTTAGACGGAGAAAGTCCTGAGAAAGTTTCTCAGCCAACACCGGGTTTGAATCCTGGACCTTCTGGTTATTGTGTCTGCATCTTTCTAATTGAGCCACCATTTCTTGGCTAACACAGGGAGGGATCGAAAACAGGACCCAGGGGCAGATTCAGAAGGGGGGTTTGGGGGGTCCCCCCTGGGGGGTGCTCAGCTAGATAAAAAATTTTTTTGTAAAACAACTTTTTTGGTGAGAAAAGTGTCATAATTGTGCTTTATCCTATATCGTCAGATGGTGCGACAGGATGGGCACTCAAAGCGCGAGATAATGATATATGTGATATCAAAATTAATGCTTTGCATCAATAATTAAATTGAATCACAATGTCATCGTATTAATTCATAATAAAACTTGACGTCAAACAGGATGTTGAATTTCTCTGTTTAAAAAGCTCAATGTGTATGTATATACGACAAAATGACAATAGAGACCATGTATTTCTCAAAAAATTTCAAGCCAAGGGGGGGTGGGGGGTGGTGGAGGGATATACATTTTCTCAGGAACCTGGCAAACCCCCTCCTGCAAAAATTCCTGGATCCGCGCCTGGGACCACCTGGTTATAGTCAGCATGCACTTAGGCTACCAGTAATTTCTCATCCGAGACCAAAGCCCCAATCTCAAGGTTTCGATCCCCAGCTTGTTCGTGACAAGGAGTAGGGTCGACTGTCCAAACCTCGTGGGTTTTCTCTGGGTCTTCCAGTTTTCTCCCATTGGCACTGCTACTTACCCCAATGCTTGCAAAGGAATTATCTGAAATTTAATTTTACCATAAGTTAGTCCCGAAATGACCTAATCTGTGGCGAGTGGACGTTAAACACCATTTCTCTCTCTGTTTATTAATAATATGAACAAAAGGGCTATTGACTCCCTGAATCCTCAATACAGAACCGCCTCAAAGGGAGACAACTTTAAAAGAATTAGTTTCGAATTTGTTTCAAATTCTCTTTTAGACTCATCTAATTCAATTACCACGAAATTTGATATTAGATAATGAAATATGAAGACAAAATTACATTATTGCCTAATTTATAGACTGCATCTGTGTTTTCTAAAGCTAAAATCATTAGATAACAATTTTATTCTCGTATTTTGGCCAAGATGGCTTCCCTGAGTGAGAAATTAGCCAAGTTAGCCGATACAACTCCAGTTTTCCATGATCCTGAACAGGACACGTTAGATTGTAAGTGAGAATTTTCATTTGAAAATATTGTTCTGTATGAAATTATGTTGCCAGGGAAATCAAACCATAGCCAAGTTATTGGTCCATGGTCACACGTGAACGTCAATTTCAAGTTATTTTGCAAACACGTGGTTTTGTTTATAATCAGCTGTGATCACTGCATTTGTTTATTTCGTCATAATTTTTAATATACCGTCTTCGCCAAATTTATTAAAAATTTAAATTTTGTTGCTGCTCTTCAACAACAATACAGACGTGTCTTTTTTTTTAAAATAAATTGTCATTTTCTTGGGGTTTTTTTTCCAACATACATGTAATAATAAAATTCTGTCATTCACTCATTGTCAAAGAGATTTATGGACCCCATAAAAAGTTAAAATACTAGACGCTAGTCACAGTATAATTCGTCTGACATCGGATCCATATGTCAAATTGCTAGTCGTAGGAAAAATTTATAACCAAGGGCTGCCAGGGAGGATAGGCCTACATTCTGTGTTATTCACACACTGGACATCTGTTAAGACCTGGGGGGCCACTGTGACTTAGTGAGAAAGCACTGGCTCACTAACCAGAAGGTCCTGTGTTCATTCTCAGTGTTGGCTAAAAAACATTCCCCTTTTCACTGCTGCGTCTATTCGCTCGAATGTGATGAAAACCAGAGGTCCTGCAGCATGTTGACAGCACATTAACCAGGTTCAGGAGTTCCTAGGTTCAATCTCGATGTTGGCCAAGCTTTTTGGTCCTCAGGATTTTACAGCCAGGTTCCCCCCCCCCCCCCTTGTCAAAGGTGCAGACTGAATGGCCTGGCAAGGAAAAGTGGCTAGTCATTCAGATGTGAAGAAAATTTGAGGTCCTGCATAAGCTTATACCATATGCAGCACATTCAAGATCCCTCAACATTTGGTAATTGAAATAAGGGTAGACATTGGCACCACTGTCTGGGCAAAAATTTACCTCATAGCACACTGCATGTCATTAGCCCAGTTGATGCAGAAAGTAAGACATTAACCCAACTTCATACTTCATTTCGATCAGAGACCAATAGTTAGAACACTCCATAAAATGAGAATATAAAGTTATAGTAAAACTTAAAAGTGTAATAATATATAAATTTTGATCATTACCATTATATTTCAGTAACTGTAGCAAAGTTAGCTGAAAAGGATGAGAAAGATGATAGCCTCAATATTTCTACAAGAAGTAGTCTTAGAACCAAATCAACAGCTCTATTAGATGAAGATGATTCTAAATATTCAGGCAAAAGAACTTCTCGCAAAAAGCTCCGAAATGATGAGTTTTCAGGTGAGATGACTTGTTGATATTATTAGACTAGGACAGTGGTTTCAACCTTTTTATGCCAATGGCACACCTTGGAACACATAAAAAAATAGCGGCACACCTGGCTAAATATATATGAAAAATATTTGAATTTTGCAAAATAAAAACATGGCAAGTCATAGACGGCATACAACCATAGACACAGAATATATTTATAGAATGACTCCAGCTAAATAAAGAAAAGCACAGCTATGAACTTAGCTGGCTTCTTTAGTTAGATATTTTCTTAGTGTGCCCATTCGGAATTTCGCGGCACACTTAGGAAGATCTCGCGGCACAGTGGTTGAGAATCACTGGACTAGGAACTGGGCCTCAATTGCTGCTCACCTTATTGTTCTTCTTGGTTGGCGGGTGCGAGTGATGCTTTTCAAGAAAGCCTTTACTAAGGCTGCCAAGTACAACTGACATGAAACTTGACATGCTTGTTCATTGGACACAGGGGGCTTGGGTAGTTGATAAATCATTAACATCATAAGGTCTGTCATTGAGTCAAGTGGCATGGTGTCGATTCCCCGCTTGTATTTGAAAAGGAGTAGGGTCGACCGTCCAACCTCGTGGGTTTTCACTGCATCCTGGAGGTCGGGTGTTTGATCCCTGCATTGGCCGAGAAAGTTCCGGCGTGGTTCCCCCTTTTCAGTGGTGCAGAACGGAGGGCCTGACGAGGACAGCTGTCTTGTCCTTTGGATGTTACGAAAAACCAAGGTCCCGTGTATACATTGGAATGCACGTAAAAGATCCCTTGGCAGTTGGAATTCGATATAAGAGTAGGCAAAATTTCCCTTATAGCACACTGCATGGCGTATGCCATCTTCATTAGCCCAGTATAGGAGCAGAACAGTAGGATGTTAAACCCCATTTCATTTCATTTCCTTCCATGCATTGCACACTTGACCATAGTAAATAGAATGTGGTGGCTAATTGGGGTCCCGTCTTCGATCTATGTGTTGGCTGAAAAAGTTCATCAGGATTTTCCGCCATGATTCCCCCATGGAGGGCCCGACAAAGAACAACTTATATTTGTTCAAATGGGATGAAAAATTTGAGGTCCCATGTAAAAGAATCCTTGACAGTTAGAATGTGGAATAAGAGTAGACTGTAGTACTATGGTCTGGGCATACTGTATGATGTATGCCCATCCTCATTAGAAAAGTCAGTGCAGAACAGTAGGATGTTATGTTAGTTTCAAAATGACTTAAAGGAGGTAAATCGCTAATATTTGGGACCTAGAAATTGACACAAATGGGTCGCAACGCATATAATAATGTAATATGAATGTATATAAACTGATTTACATTCAATCGTTTCTGTTTTTACTGTAATTTCTAATCAGTTATGTTCGGCGAAATGCGCCAAAGTCTCAATTAAATGACAATCTTTAGCTGCTGGTTATTCCAGTCTACACCGATGGTATTTATTGCGCATGCTCTCCAGTTAAGAATATAGCGTCACCATTTGACATGACTTGTTGAATATGTTTAGCCACGTTCTTTGAGTTTCTTGTTCCAAATGGCGCTGAAACGCATTATGGTAAAGGATTTGTGTACCAATGGTAAAATGTTTATTTTGTCTTGAATATTGGATATCAGAAGCCAATCTTTTCCCTGTAAGATCACAAGACCAATGTTGATTTGAATTGACAAATAATTCGTGTTTTCAATGTCAAAGATTTTTGATGATATTGAGTTAAGAGACTTAGCTACTTTAACTAAAGTATTGAGTTTAAAGGACTTCAATTGTTTTTTCTATTCATTCATCTGATCTCCAGAGATCTTCATTATTTTGTTTGTTTTATAACAGATGAAGAAATTGATAGCCTAGCATTAGACGCTCTGAGAGAAGCTATTGATTCAGATGATAGTGGCCAGTCAGTCGATGATGATGAGGAGGAGGAGGATGATGACGACGAAATTGACATTGATAGTGGTGATGATAAAGAAGCAGTAGAAAATTTTAAGACAAAAATACAACAAGCGAAAAAGGAATTTAGGTAATTTAAAAATAGCACATTGCATTGTATAATATCCCAGTACTCATAGCACACTGCATTGTATAATATTCCGGTCCTCATAACTTCAAGATAAGAAAAAAAATTTTTTATATGTATGGCAGACTTTTTTATGACCACTAACTATATGTTACAATTTCATTTTATTAATTTACTCGATTAGGGTGTTTATGGTTAGCATAAAGGACTTGGTATAACAACCCTCTTTTTCCTCAAGTCCTACATTTTGTAAATAAACAAAGTTACATGTATATAAAGGATCTATTTTCAAAAATATTACAAAGAAATTAGATAAGTTTAAAAGGTTTATGTTCCACATCTGAAATGATTGTTGTTATGTCTGTCTATGGTGGAGTGGTGGGGGCTGAATGTTCTAATATATGCGCTTTAGGCTTTAGATCATAAGATCTGTTATTGAATTAACTGGCTAAATTTCATTCCCAACTTGCGCATAACAAGAAGGCAGTGGCTATTGTTATGACGAGTCGTAAAAATAGTTCTCAGGCTATTGTTACGACGATGCTTTCACAGCCCTCCATCGGCGAAGTTAAAAACTGAATAGTTGTATAAATAGTCCTAACCCTAACCATAACCCTTCCCATCTCTTAATTGCTGCCTTTAGTTCTGAAAACGTTGAAAATACTGCTCCTTTTTCAAAGCTGGTGTTGGGGAGATTGGCAGCCATTTTGGAATTCATTCTAAACTTGTCGTAACAATAGCCACTCTGTAACAAGAAGTAGGGGTCGCCTGTCCAACCTTGTGGGTTTTCTCCTCGTTCTCCGGTTTCCTCCCACTGCTAATGACCCCTATGTGCAATCGAAATGACCTAGTTTGTGTCAAGTGGATGTTAAATCTCATTTCTCACTGGTTGTCATAGTGCTACATGTATGTTCTTATACTTTAGTTTTGAAGGTGATGGCGATTATGGCAAATACGGCGAAGAAGGTGATGAGGAAGAAGATGATGATGACGAAGGAGATGATGATGATGATGAAGAAATGAGTGATGAGGAGGATGATGATGATGTTCAAGAAGAAAAGAAAATTAGTAAGTGACATATCACTGCAATACGAAACAAACTGTAAGGCTAAAAGATAACAATAATTTCATGATATGGACAGAGAAGAAAAAGATCCTGGTTGTCATTGTTTGTATAGGGCCAAAAGCCAAGGTCTTGTGTACAAATTGGTAGTGTATGTGACATATCCCTTGACAGTTGGGATTCTAAGGTAAGTAGATGGTAATTCTGCCATCTTGTAGTGCATACGTAACCATAGAAACGACCATTCTTGTACTGACAATATATTAAGCCCTATTTTATTCTGTGGGTTCTAATTTTACTAACAGTAGTGTTATGATTATTTCAGATAAAGATGGTAAAGAGTCCGGTATAAAACAGTTTTCTACGCCAGCGGCTGCCAGTGAAGAAGTGGAAAAGGGCAAACATGCTAAAAATCAATTAGGTTTGTTTTTGTTAAATATTTTACCCTTTGCTTCTGTTTCCTGCCCTTTTCTTTAATAACTTTAAATCTATCATCTCTACCTAATTAACAAGATCTTGTAAATATTTTTAATCTCGACCACTTCTACATCAAATCAATAGTTGTACATGATGCTTGAAATTTGGAACAATGGCTCTTCTATAATTACTGTATTATTAGTAAAGCTGCACACCTTGGTGTTTTGTCCTTTACCATTAGGTCGTGTGGTACCTCTCTGTCCTTTACAATCGAGTCATGCGGTCCCTTGGTGTTCTGTCCTGTATTTTGGCAAGGAACAACAACTAGTTGTTTGGATGGGTTAAAAAAAACGAGGCTGTCTACATATTGGAGAACACTAAAGGAACTTTTGACAGTTGGAAAAGTAGGACGTTAAACTCTTATTTTATTTATTTATTGTAGGTATATGGGATGGTTTACTAGAGACTCGTATAAAACTACAGAAGACTGTATCATCTATAAATCAACTACCACAGCCTTCTATCTGGTCACTCTTTAATAAACTGGGTGGAGAAAACTTTGATAATCTTGCTACTGAAGGTAACATAGACTGTATTCTACCAGATAACATATTGTTTAAATACACTGTTTCCCTTTGTAAAGTAAATGCTCCTTGGCCCCTTGTATAGTAAATACACTGTATCGCCTTGTATAGTAAATGCTCTGTGGCCCCTTGTATAGTAAATACGCTGTATCCCCTTGTATAGTAAATGCTCTGTATCCCCTTGTATAGTAAATGCTCTGTGGCTCCTTGTATAGTAAATACACTGTATTCCCTTGGATAGTAAATACACTGTATCCCCCTGTATAGTAAATGCTCTGTGGCCCCTTGTATAGTAAATGCTCTGTGGCCCCTTGTATAGTAAATGCTCTGTGGCCCCATGTATAGTAAATGAACTATGGCCCCTTGAATAGTAAGAGTAAGAGAATCGCACGGTACCTGTACAAACAAAAGCCACTAAGACAAACACACAACACTAAGACAAACACACAACACAAAGACATTGTTGAAAGTAATAAACCACGAAAATACTTTCAAATCAAATTATTATTCTTAGAATGTCAAGTAATAAAATCTAGTCATTTGGATGGGGTAAAAAATTATGTACAAGTTGGCATACATGTAAAAGAACCCTTGGGAGTTGGAATTCAATAAAGAATAGGCTGAAATACCACTATCATTAGCCCAGTTGGTATGGGAATGTATGACATTAAACCTCAATTCATTTCATTGTATTACATAACTAGCGGAAGAAACAACACTGCATTGGTTGTTCCCAGGAACCGAAAGTAGTATCACTCCAGAAGCGGTATGCATCGCCACCACGCCTATATTACTCCCATGTCCGAGCTACCCCTATAAACCAAATTTCAGCCCCTTGGGATAGCCAAACCTGAATAGACGGACAAACAAACGGCAGTCACAAATATTAGTATAGATAACTTGTACCTTTTCAGCGCAATGTGAACTACGAACTCTGTTGGAGAAACTGGTTCAACTACAGACGTTATTACTTCTACAGAATCCAGCAACTAAACAAATAGTTTCCGACAAAAATCAACAACAACAACAGTAAGATTTGTTCATTATATAATCAACAGCTCAATTACATGGATCAGAAATTTCTTTTAGTTCTCTCCAATATGTAGACAGAAACTCCTGTTTTTCAAACCAACCAAACAACAAGTTGCTGTTTCTTGCCACGCCCTCTGTCCTGCACGACAATGTGAAACTGAGTACAAAATACTTTGAATTCGATAAAGGCAGAAATGCGAGATACAATTATTGTCTCGTCTCTAAGATACAGGTAAAGCCTAATTACCTCCCTTTACTACTGAGCACTTTTGGTGCGTACGCCATCCTACCGGTTTCCATATACGGCTGGGTAGACTGGAAAACAGGGATGACCTGTCTTCTTCAAGGACACAAAAACTTGATGAATAATTCAGGTCTCAAACCAGAAACTGTCGTCTGGGCAAACTTTCATTGATAGTACACTTCATGGAATATGTCATCTTCATTAATCCATTTGGTCCCTCTCTTTCCTGCTAGGTTTAACAGGGGAGCAGGAGTAGCTCAGTCATTAAAATGTTAAACCCAATTTCATTTCAATAATTAACATATATTAAAGATACATTATGTAAGATTTAGATAAAGAACTAGCCATTCTTGCTATTATAGTTCGAAAGTAGATGATGTAAAATGAATAATTTGAAAATTTCATTCAAATTACTCTATTGCAAACGAAGATATTAGCCTTTGAAGGTTTGACCGAAGCTAAGCCTCGGTCCTCCATATTTGATTAAATCAAATTATCGCTGAACCATTCTAATCTATTTAATATCGGAGAATTCTGATGCCATCGAGAGTTGATTAAGGCTTGGATCAGTTAATGAATGTCTAATTAATACTTTAGAAAACATTTCAGGCCTAAAGAAAGACCTGCAATAGGCAGATTTAGCTCTTGCATAATGCATGTTTAAGATACGGAGAATCCTGTGTTTTGTCCATCAGATGTTCTGTTGTTGATTATGGAAGTATTTTTCAGTACACGAGAAGAAGATGATGATGGTGATGAAGATGATATTAAAATGAGTATTGAAGACGACGAGGAGATAACTAGCGAGGAAGAAGATGGTCAAGCGAATAAATCAGCGTCTAAGAAGCCCACTCCGCTACTTGTCACAGGTACAAAGAGAAAAATACCTTTAGATGAATATCCTGAATTCCTAGCGAAACGACATACAGACTTCCAAACATACAGGTAGTGTATTCACTAAACGATGCGATTATCAGTTAACTAATTATCAATCTTATTAAAATTCAGATCTATATTTCGTTTTGGTTTTTTATACTTTCTATGGCCAACACTACATGAAGATCTGACAAGTTGTACTCAAAGGTTGTGTCAGGGGTCATACGAGCTGCTTTTGACCCTATGACGTCAGACATTGATTAATCAACCTGCGTTGGCGTTTCTAGTGGTTTACCCACAGTTCCGTGCATGGCATGCGGGTAATAGACACAACTCTTCCAGATTCGATTGATTAATCATCAAATTTTAGGATTCTAATATCTTTGGGTTGAACATGACATTTTAACTTTTGTCCAGGTGCGCATCAAGACAATAATTGATAACAACTGTCATTAAAAACACCATTGTTAGTTAGTTTTTATATTTCTATGGCATAGTCTGATCGGACATGAAAGCCACTAACCATGAAACCCTGGGTTCAATCATGGCAAGGGGTATATGGTTAACGCATGTCCGTTGTATCATAAAGTCTGTCATTGAGTCAACTGGCATGGTTTTGATTCCCCGGTTGTTCGTGCCTGTCAACCTCGTAGGTTTTCTCTGGGTCCTCTGATTTCCTCCCACTGTTAAAGACTACTATGTGCAAGCGAAATAACCTGGTTTGTCTCTCTCAATCACTGCGCTGCCTGGGAAATCTCCACCAAATATTCCGATGTAGTTTCCCCCGTGTGTGAGTGGTGCAGAACGGAGAGCCTAGTAAACCACTGTGTCTAGTCGGTCATATGTCCTGTGTACACATTGAATAGCACGTAAAAGACCCCTTGACTATTGGAATTCCAAATAAAGAGTCCAGACATAGTACAAAAAAATAGGACATTAAACCCCATTTCATTTCTCTTATTGGTCAGATGTCAGGACCTGTGATTAAAGGGACAATAACACTCTTGCTGGCTTGACAGCTCCAGTAAATAAATATTAGCCTTATTCTAAGTATTAGATGTTTAAGTGTCCTACCTGTTGTGTAAATTATCCATTAAATCCTATTTTACTTGTCCAGAGGGTTCAAAAATATTTTTAAATCCAAGTCACATTTGAAAAGGTTTACGTCAGGCTTTTCAAATCATTTAGTTGAATTTTTCTAATTTTTTAAATTAGGTGTGTTAAGATGAAATTTGTATCATTAATTAATTGGAATATTGTAAAATAGTACAATTTGTTGACCAGAATAAAGATTGGGACATATTTATTCAGTTACAACAAGAGTGGTATTGAGCCTTTAAAGGAGCTAAATTCATGATTTCAACATTTCTTGAATAGATATTTCCATGTTACAGGTTCATCAAGTATTTGGGCCGAATGGTTAGCACATTGAGTCAACTGGCGGGGTTTCGATTCCCTGGTTGTATGTGACAAGGAATAGGGTCGCCTGTCCAACCTCGTGGGTTTTCTCCGGGTCCTCCGGTTTCCTCCCACTGCTAAAGACCCCTATGTGCAAACGAATTATTGAAATAGAATTAAACCATGTGTTAGTTCCGAAATGACCTAGTTTGTGTCAAGTGGATGTTAAACCCCATTTCTCTCTCTCCCTCTCATCAAGTATTTGTACTAAATCAGTTTTAAACTTTGGTTATTTGAGATAATAACATGAATATCCTGGTTTATTTCAGAAATGATACTATCACTAAATGGAACAGTAAAACTCAGTTGGTATCTGGAAAGATAAAAGGGAAGGGTTTTGGTGCCTTTAATCAGTCAGTTTTAAAACAAATACAACAGGTATGTAATTCGTCTAGATAAAATATATATTGACATTTTTGACAGCAATGTGTACAGAGATGATACATGGGTCAGTTTTTATTACGGAAGCCTAGTTGAAACATCGCTCAACAATTGTCACTTGATAAAGACGAGATAAGCCTAGTTGAAAAGTTTATCAGTAATAAACAGTATATGTATTCAGACTAGAACAGTGGTTCTAAACCCTTTTTTGCCAACGGCGCACCTTGGAACACATGAAAAGAATAGCGGCACACCTGGCTAAATATATATGAAAAATACTAAAATTTTGCAAATTAAAACCATGGTAAGTCAGACGGAATACAACCATAGACAGAGACTAATTATAGACATATTGAATGACTCGAACTAAATAAAGAAAAAACAGCTATGATCTTATCAGCAGACACCAGTGAATACTCAATTGGGATCACTGGTTTTTCACATTTTCTCAGTGTGCCGTTCAAAATTTTACGGCACACTAGGTAGATCTCACTGGTTGAGAATCACTGGATAAGAGAAACCTATAGAAACATCACTCAGTAATAAACAGTAGTTTTGTGGTAAAGACTAGCGAAGACAAACTGATCAGCAGTTGCTTAATAAAGAGTAGGTAAGCCAGGTTGAAACGTCGCTCAGTGATAGGGGGATCACGTGGTTAAGTGGGTAAGACGCTGGGTCGGGTGTTCGATCCCTGCATTGGCCGAGAAAGTTCATCCAGATTTTCCGGCGTGGTTCCCCCTTGTCAGTGATGCAGGACGAAGGGCCTGACAAGGACAGCTGTCTAGTCGTTTGGATGGGACGAAAAACCGAGGTCCTGTGTACACATTGGCGTGCACATAAAAGATCCCCTGGCAGTTGGAATTCGATATAAGAGTAGGCCGTAGTGCCGCTGTTCGGGCAAAATTTCCCTCATAGCAAACTGTATGGTGTATGCCCGTCTTCATTAGCCCAGTTCGGAGCAGAACAGTAGGACGTTAAACCCCATTTCATTTCATTTCATTTCACTCAGTGATAAACAGTAGTTACTTGATAAAGATAAAAGAAGCCTAGTTAAAAAGACGATAAGTAATAAATAGTAATTACTTGATAAAGGACTAGATAAGCCTAGTGAAAACAATAATGAGTAATTGCTTGATAAAAAGTACAGTAGCCTAGTTGAAACGTTGCTCAGTGATAAACAGTTATCGCTTGTTAAAACTAGGGAAGCCTAGTTGAAATGTTGATCAGTAATAATGAGTAATTACTTGATATAAAGTAAAGTAGCCTAGTTGAAACGTCGCTCAGTGATAAACAGTTATCGCTTGTTAAAACTAGGGAAGCCTAGTTGAAACGTTGATCAGTTATAATGAGTAATTACTTGATAAAAAGTAAAGTAGCCTAGTTAAAACGTCGCTCAGTAATAAACAGTTATCGCTTGTTAAAGAGTAAAGAAGCCTAGTTAGAATGTAGCTAAGTAATAAACGGTAAATGTATTCACTAAAATTGTGAATGGTGTTTATCCAGTTCAATGACTAAATACATATTTGTATATTTTCTCCAGATTATGAGTGATAAGGAAAGATTAATCAGAAGAACGCAGTTGAAGAGATCAGATTATCGGGTGTTGGGAACGACAGAAGAAAACCGACCTGAAGAACAAGAGTTACCTCCCGAAGATGTGGAGATGGACAGACCGGTGGCAGCACCTGTCAACGATTACGATGTAGAAATATTTGATGATAGCGATTTCTACCATCACATGTTACGGGAATTTATTGATAGAAAATCATCGGAGATTGATGATCCATTGGCTTTAGGAAGGTAAATTAATATCTTGTGTTTAGGCTAAAATGTTCCACACGGGTTGTTTGCTTGTGAGTCAATCAGATTAAAACACAGACCCTAATTCGGTTTGTTTTTTATAGTTCAAAATTTGGTTTTACTTGTCTTTACTATACTAGGATCTGGAAGAGTTGTTATATAACCTGTGTTCTGGATTGTGAGGGATAAGCCAATGAAATGGTCTGTTGCAGCGAGTTCTTGGCGTGCGATGCACAAAACTGTGGGTATCCTACTAGAAACATCAAGCCTGATTGGTTAATCAAATGTCTGATGTCATATGGTCAAAAGCCTCTTGTATGGCCCCCCCCCCCCTCATAGCCCTCTGAATTGTATAACATCCCAAAGGAATAAATATGCGACAAATCTTGTCGACCACTCGGACGATTTAGCTGCTGTGGGCGTATGTTTCGTTGCCTGGCAACCTATTTTATTTCAATTGATTGTATGATGTCATTGCACTATAACGATCAAAACTAAATATTAAAATAAATGTTTTCAACAGACAGTGGTTAGAGGTACAGAAAAGTCGAACAAAAGTTAAACGACATGTTGATACTAAAGCTAGTAAAGGTAGAAAATTACGGTAAGTTGCAGTATCAGTTTATTTTAAATAGGGGTTTGGGTGGCCGAATGGTTAGCACATTAGCATGTGCGCGCTGTATCATATGGTCTGTCATTGTGTTAACTGGCAGTGTTTTTCGATTCCCCGGTTGTACGTGACAAGGAGTAGAGTCGCCTGTCCAACGTCTGCTAAAGACCCCTACGCGCAAGCGAATTATTGAAATAAAATTGAACCATGTGTTAGTCCCGAAAGGACCTAGTTTGTATCGAGTGGACTTAAACCCCATTTCTCTCTCTCTTTCTCTCATGAATGTATTATGTTTATTTATATATAGGTATAATGTACACAGTAAACTAATCAATTTTATGGCACCTGTAGATAACTCACCTTGGACAGACGAAGCCAGGTAAATATACACATTATTATATTCAATATTAAATATGTAATATTTGATTGAAATAAGGGTGGGGGTAGTTAGCGGGTGGGGGTAGTTAGCGGGTTCACGCTGTATCATAAGGCCAATCATTGAGTCAACTGCCATGGTTTTGATTCACGGGTTGTACGTGACAAGGAGTAGGGTTGCCTGTCCAACCTCGTGGGTTTTCTCTGGGTCCTCCGGTTTCCTCCCACCGCTAATGACCCCTATGCGCAAGTGAATTATTAAAATAAAAAATTGAACCATATGTTAGTCCCGAAATAACCTAGTTTGTGTCAAGTGGATGTTAAAACCCATTTCTCTCACTCTCTGATTGAAATAAGACACAAGAGGCAGATCCTGTTCAATTTGTTTTTAAATTTCAGATCCCTAGCAATAACAGTCCAAAATGACTGAGTTTGCATTGTGTGTGTGGGTAGGGTGGGGTGGGGGGGAGCTATTCTGATTTTATCTACAAGCACTGCAATATCTTTTATACTGTCCTGTCTTTATCTGAAACAGTCTATAGTCCATACCAGTTATAGTTTATGACATGTGGTTATCTAAAACAGTCTACAGTCCATATGATTAACAACATAGTAAGATCTGTTATTGGATCGGGGGGTTGGATGGCTGAATGGTTAACACGTGCGCACTGTATCATAAAGCCTGTAATTGAGTCAACTGGCATGGTTTCGAATCCCTGGTTGTACGTGACAAGGAGTAGGGTCGCCTGTCCAACCTCGTGGGTTTTCTCCGGGTCCTCCCACTGCTAAAGACCCCTACGCGCAAGCGAATCATTGAAATAAAATTGAACCATATGTTAGTCCCGAAATGACCTAGTTTGTGTCAAGTGGACGTTAAACCCCATTTCTCTCTCTCTCTCTCTCTCTGTTATTGGATCAGCTGGCTGGTTTCGTTTCTAAGCTTGCAGGAGTATGGTGGCCTGATCAGCCTTGTCAGTTTCCTCCCACTACTAAAGACCTCCCCGCGCAAGCGAATTATTGAAATAAGAATGTATATATTAATCCTGAAATGACCTAGTTTGCGTGTGGTGGACATGATACCCCATTCGCTCTGGTCTCCCCCTTCTAAGGTCACAATTAACCAGTAAAGACAATACACCTTTATACAAGCCAATTAAAGTGTTATATTTAAATCTTTCCCCAGAGTGTAGGATATTAACAATAATGTTATATTTATATCTGTGTATGTTTCAGAGATGATTTATATAAGAGTTTAGTTATATCTGTCTGTTTCCGGGATAATTTATATAAGAGTTCAGTTATATCTGTCTGTTTCAGGGATGATTTGTATAAGAGTTTATTTGGTCAGAAAGTTAAATTACCAGAAGGCAGTGATGAGTCATCGAAGGGAAGATAACTCTAAATATATAATAATAATAATAAAATAATAATTAAAAAAAACGTGTAAAAAATAAAATATTTAAAATATTTCTTAAAAACCTGTATTTTGTGTTTTTTCTTTTTTTTTCTACCTAATTGCCATGCAGCATTATTCGAGTCGCCTCGGAAATTGATTGAAAGTCTGTCATGAAGGCATAGTGATAGTAACAATCTATCACAATAATCAAACGGTTCTAAGGCTATTTTGGAGCCTTTACCTTCTATTTTTCACCGTATTTCTTTGTTTACCAAAAGGCATCGTTTCTAACATATTCCTGAAGCAATGGCCCGAGAAATCCCTCTCTGGCCATTGCTGGATTGGATTCTGATACTTGAGCTTTTGAGGGAGTGTGTCTATTCTTCCCGTTCAATGTATCCGAGTACAGCAACATTGACAGCCCTTCATTTAATCTGGGGTCTTCCCTAAAACTTTTGACAGTGATTTAAGGTATTAAAAATGGTGAAAGTCTTGTTCATCTCCATACAGTCTTGTTTACATTGTTTACGTGTTGATAGCCTCAATTGTCACGCAATTAGTTTTTCTGCAATATGGTGCTATGTACTGGTTAATTGGGCATAATAAAATCGTGAGTCATGACGTAACATTATGTAAACATATTTGGTCCAATTTGGAGCTTTGTTTAACGCGTGATGACATTGTTACGCAGTTAGCTATTAGTTGTTAATCAGACTGTTGACCAGTCATAATTTGGAACAGAAATTTGCTTCCATTAAAGCAGTGTTTAGTGGGATTAGCTCTAATCAAACAAAACAGGCCTCCAACATAGTTAAGGGTAGACCGGTATTAACAGTAGTTTCATATTTCAGCTTAAAGGACAATATTGGTGTCAGTCATTATAAAATATGTGATAGAACTGGTTAAATACATCCCAAATATAACTTTAACACAGAGATCATTGCTACGGGAGATGTGTAACAAGCATGTGAAGAAACGGGAAGTGACGACAAACCTCTTGTCAGTGGTGCAGAACGGGGGTGGGGGAGGGGGTGACAAGGACAGCTGTCTAGTCCTTTGGATGCACATAATAGGTCCCTTGGCAGGTGGAATTCGATTTAAGAGTAGGCCTTAGCACCGTTGTCCGGGCACAATTTCCCTCATAATTAGCCCAATATAGGAGCAGAACAGTAGGACGTTGAACCCCATTTCATTTCATTACAGTTAAAGAACACCTGACATTTAGAAATCGAAAAGCGAGTAAACGGTAGCACCACTGACTGTTCCACTCGGCAAACCTCAACAGATTCCAGTACCCTACATCTAATCTCGGATGTATGACAAAGTCCGCCATTAGAACTACTTTCAAGTTCCCGGATTACAATGGCGTTGTCCATGACGACCAATGACGTCATTGATGACGACGTATTTGAATATATCAAACACACTGGTGCCTAATGCTGTTACGATTGAGTTTAGCATCATTCACATTTGGGCTTTTCATGTTACGATTAAAAGGTATATTACTCTCCATAGATTCGCATAATCCTATTAAAAAATTTATACTAATGTTGATAAGACTTGATAAAAGGCTTACTACCCTCTATTCCCATCACAAAATTAAAATATTTTTAGCAACTGACAAATGGTTTTGGAGCAACCTGCCAAACACGATGACGTGTAAATGTTGGTGTATATCGATTACAAAATCATTTCTAAAATTGAATGATTTTTTCAAAATTTAATTATATTAAATTATTACAGATTTTGCTGGAATACATTCCTGTATAATCAATATATGCCACGTGAATTGTCAATCTGTTTCACAGATATTAAAACATAGATATGACGTCACCCTTTGATGTTTTTAACCAGTATATAGGAGAATGTACGCTTTTTTAATAAATAATGGACAGTTTTATAAATAATAGACGATCGTCTAAGAAAATACCAATAATAGACACGAATCTCTGAAAAATGAACATGTATTTTGAGATAATTTATTCTCTGAACAAATTAAATTACAGAACATGAAATTACTTTAAAACCTCGATCATAGTTACCGAAATGTCACATGACCGAATGTTGATTTCACGTGTTTGTCTTCATAAAGAATTCCACTTAAATCTGTCCGTTATATGTCACTTGTCCGTTTAATAGTACGTTCGGCACTAGATCGATGATACGTTTTTATACGCCTACATTTTCACACCTTCTTTGTGGACACTCTACGGGTCATAACTTGAAATATAGGTTATATCCCAAAGATCTCGGTTCCTTTCGATATTGTTTTGTATTGGACCGTAATTTCATGGATTATGGCCCCTGACTGTACACACCAGAGGTCACAATTATTAGCCCATTTTGATGAAACTGAACATGTGTGTTTATAACCCAAAGATTTCGATTCCTTGCGATATTGGCGCATATCGGACCTTAACTTCCTGGATTATGGCCCCTGATTTTCTACTTCTTCTACTTCTACCCGGTAGTGTCCACAATCATGGTTGATCATTTTGACACGACGTGGGTTGCGCATGGCCGGCATGACGACGAAAAGTTAAAAACGGGATTAAAAGTTAAAAAAAACCAGGATAAAAATGACGCGGTGTCGAAGCTCACAGAGCCCCAGACAACATGGACTTGAAGATCTCGAGAGTGTCGGAGGATGGCATGTCTGGTGGTAAATCATTCCACTCTCCTATTGTTCTTGGGAAGAAGGGGAATTTCTTGGTGTCATTCCTGGCAGGTGGAATTTGGAAAGTTTGAGGGTGCATGTGTCTAGTTGTCCATGGTGGGATTAGCATGTCTGTTGTGATTTTAATGAGGTTGCGGATCTGAATGAACAAAAAAAAAGTCTTTTGAGCCTGTGGAACCTATACAGGTCACAATTTGTATCCCTTTATAAAAAACGTTCAAATATATCACCGTTACACCATAATCACAGTTGATTTTGAATTACGTGAATTGGTTTGTGCCTTTGATTCTGTGTCCTGTCACTTATATCAGAGTATATATTAAATTTTAAATCGAAATTTGGACGGCTAGTACCCTCCATATTAACCACAGTACTAAGAATATTATCAATATCTAAATCATTCTCGTGAGCAACCTTTCCATCACAACTTTGACGGCTATCAAGAACATCACAATTTTTACGGCTATTATCTTCCATATCGAGTACATTACCAATGTAATCAGTATCCAAATGCTTATCACATATATTCTCATTATTAATATTTGTTTTCGACTGTGTTATAAACATGTCTCCATGTCGAATATTTTTGATTGTCTGTGTATGCTTGCATTGTATGACTGGAGTGTTTTTTCACATGCATTCATGAGCATGTGCGTGTTGTTTTAAGAATAAATCCATTATTTTATGGCTTGTTGTTTTAGAAAACTATCCATTATTTGTATCTCTATGGTGCTATGTTTTAAGTCTGATAATAGCCTCAGACTGTCTATTATGTAAATACAAAGAAATGGACAGTCTTCGGCCATTATCCATCACATAATAGATAAAGTAAAATGAAAATATTGAAAATTTCATTCAAATTACTTCATTCTGAGCCAAGTTTTCATTGCTTATAGTTTTGACAAGATGTGCGCATTGTGGTAACCAGGGAACTGGTATATTTAAGACTTAGCCTCGTTTTCCCATTTTTAAATTAAATTCTTAAATGGCGAACCGTTCTAATCTAGTTAAAATCTCGAGTATCCGATGCCATCGATAGTTGATCATGATCTTGTTTTGTTAATACATATAAATGTCTAATTATTAATTTATATAAAATTTCAGGCCTGAAGAAAGGCCTGCAATATGCAGATTTAGCTCTTGCATAATGTATGTTTAAATTAAGGATTTACGATAGGTGTGTGGGATATTAATATGTAAATTAGACTCATTATCGATTCAGTATTCCACATATAAACCTAGATTTCCTGAACAAAATGCATCAATGTTTTTTTTCTTATGTGACTTTTCCTCATTGTATCAACAGAGTAAGTTCTGTCAACATTCCAACCTCGTGGGTTTTCTCCGGGTCCTCCGGTTTCTTCCCACTGCTAAAGACCCCTACACGCAAGTGAATTATTGAAACAAAAATGAACCGTGTGTTAGTCCCGAAATGACCTAGTTTTTGTCGAGTGGACGTTAAACCCCATCTCTCTCTCTCTCTCTCTCTCTCTCTCTCTCAATATTCTACACATTGGTGCCAAATGCTGTTAACAAACAGGTAAATATCGATAATAGATTCTATCGTATTTTATTGCAGAGTAAGATTGAGTTTAGCATCATTCCCATTACAAATTTTAAATATTTTTAGCAACTGACAAATGTTATTGGAGCAACCTGCCAAACACGATGACGTGTAAAATGTTGGTGTATATCGATTACAAAAGCATTTCTAAAATTGAATGATTTTTTTCAAAATTTAATTATTATATTAAACTATTATTATAGATTTTGCAGGAATACATTCCTGTATAAGCAATATATGCCACGTGAATTGTCAATCTGTTTCACAGATATTAAAACATAGATATGACGTCACCCTTTGATGTTTTTAACCAGTATATAGGAGAATGTACGCTTTTTTAATAAATAATAGACACGTATCTCTGAAAAATGAACATGTATTTTGAGATAATTAATTCTCTGAAAAAATTAAAATACAGAACATGAAATTACTTTAAAACATCGATCATAGTTACCGAAATGTCACATGACCGAATGTTGATTTCACGTGTTTGTCTACATAAAGAATTCCACTTTAATCCGTCCGTTATATGTCACGACTTGTCTGTTTAATAGTACGTTCGGCACTAGATCGATGATACGTTTTTATACGCCTACATTTTCACACCTTCTTTGTGGACACTAGAATGTCCATTGTTGCTTTATGTCTTTTTTCATATAAAATGTATTTTAGTTAAGTGATATTGAATTACCTTAAAAAAGTTTATTTAATAAAGATTACACACACAGGCTTCCAGTAAGTGTTACTTACTATATTTAAGATTGTGAACGATATGGCACCGGCATATCTCTGCAAACTCGTCGACGTCAAGTGCTCGCAAAAAGTCACCCGTTCTAGCCAAGCACCACCACTTGCCTACCCCAAAGGTCGAGCTAACAATAAATTCTCATGATACGCCCCTATCTTATGGAATGGACTACCATGCGAAATTATAGCCGTGATGAACATTGAAACTTTCAAAAAACTCATCAAAACCCGCCTTTTCCGCCCCAATTTGGGATGTTAAACCGTTTTGTCATCATGTTTTTATTGTTTTTATAGTTACTCTTTTACATATCTTATTACAATTTTACTGAAGTTTTCTTCTTATGTAGTTTTATTATCTGTAAAAATCTTACATAATGTATCTTTAAATTTTTTATATTTTATAAAGCGCGTATCTTTTTGCAGTTTTACTGAAGTTTTCCGCCTATGTAGTTTTATTATCTATAACAATTTTAATTTATTTTTTATATTTAATAAAGCGCGTTAAAAATATGCCATCCTTTTCACGGTGTAAATTGTTCTGTTTTAGAATGCGCTATGAAAGAATGTACTAGTATTATTATTATTATTATTAACATTATCATATCGCTTCATTTCCTTTTTATATACGTTTCCACACTGATAAGCAGTGAATATTCGTTAGGTGACTAAACTCACTGAGATGAATCATATCGGTGCAGGTTAATGAGCTCGCAATATTAACTTTTTTTCCTTCTGCAAAATTATTTCTAGAACATTTTTGGAAGTAATAGAAAAAAAATAAATAAAGGTGTTTGAATTATATCTGGATGAAAAAAAAAATTTCCTGTTTAGTCCCAAAGGTTTGCTGTTTATGGATTACTTCACTCGCCACAGACTAGATCATTTCAGGATAAACATTGTGAAATTTTATTTCGCGCGTAGAGGTCTTTAGCAGTTGGAGGAAACCGGATGACGCGGAGAAAACCTACGAGGTTGGACAGACAACTCTACCTCTTGTCTAAATGTCAACCCGTATGATCTAAAACGCACGCGTTAGACTTTAGGCTATCGTCCCAATAAAATATAACATTATATCAAATGAACTTACACTCAGTAGCGGAAGAACGATACAAGACGTATGACACGATTTTATTTTTCCTAGAAAATCTTTAAAAGAAATAAAATAAAAATGATGGCATATGTAAAATAGACTCAGTATCGATTCAGTATTCCACATATAAACCTAGATTTGCTGAACAAAATGCATCCATGTTTTTTTTCTTATGTCACTTTTCCTCATTGTATCAACAGAGTAAATTCTGTCAACACGCCCCTTCGAAAATTGCACAACTTGTCCCGAGGTGAACTTTACAATTAAGTTAGCATAAGCATCTTCACATATCAAACCCATAAAAAACGATCATGCTAGAATTACAACCATAATATAATGGTCATCCGCTGCTAATTTGTTTCTCAATGATGTCTACATGGTTAATGAAATAGAAAACAAGAAACCCTTTTTTAAAGAAATCCAGTTTGGGGTTTAAAATTTAGATTTTTGTACTCGATGATATTAACTTGTTCCTTATCATTTATTATACTATTTTATAGATAGCCCCTCTATTCGTGCATCTTTACTATTACAGACTGGAGAGGTGGTAGCTCAGATTATCACTAGGATCAATTTGTTCTCCCCCCCACCCTCACATCTCCTGTCTACCCATGTAAATACAGGTAGATCATAGCAAATGTCAACTATAATTTATAAATTCTTCTACTGATATTTATTATTTATTGATTAAAACAAGTATTTTATTTCATTTGGAATGCATGATGAACGGAAACTGATAACAAAAATTCGTTATGCATGCGTACGGAAATGGCAAAAGGGTCGTTCACCTATTAATAATAGTATAAATGATATTTTCAAGTGATAACCAGCAGTTTCTTATCTTAGTTCGACTTCAACTGCTCATAGAACTGCGTTTATTTCATCAACCAGTGTTAAGATCTATCAAAACGTTGATCATGAAGGGTTATATAGTTTCGATATTGTTTATTCTAATAGACACGGCATCAACAGGTAAATATATTTAGATATATTATAAAGATAACTCTTAGGCGTAGTTCTTTTTTCAAATATATATATATATTTATATTATCGTGTGAATTATTTGAAAAAATGATGGAGATGCGGTGGCTCAGTGAATAAAGCACTGAGTTATATCCATGTCCGTTTTATTTCAGTTTCATATCGCCTCATTTCATTTACAAAATAACGCAGGGAATGTTTATCGAAGCCTTCCGGCATCAATGGAGTTCCGAAATGATTGCTGTCTATGAATTATTTGACTCGCAACAGATTAGGTCACTTCAGGAAAAATATGCTTGAATTTTATTTCGCGGTTGGCGGAAACCAGACGAAGCGAAGAAAACCTACGACGTTGAGGAGGCCAGGGGCAATGGTGATTCATGATTTTGCATGAGGAACAACATTCGGTTCGGCCCCCAAAAAGCAATATGTATTTATGTGCGGGGAAGGGAGAGGGTCCCTTCCAGTGCCGCCGAGTAATATTGGGCTGTATAGAACATGGTATAACCGATTTTTAGCATATCTGACCCACGGTATAGGTTTGACACTGGTTGAGCATTATGATCGAAACCGCTTGATTTTTGCCATTTGCGAGGGGGCGCAAAAAGTCAAGGCGACGTAAAAACTATAAACCATGACAAAGTGTCCCGTGCAGCTTGTGCTCTCAACCTAGCCCGACAAATTGTACACTCTTTAATAAAATCAACAGCTAAAAAAGCACACTGATCCGCAGTGAATATTTGCTTGGCCGCGACAATCACTGATAAGGATGACATTGATGCGGCTTAATAAGCTAGAAATATTAACTTTTTTCATGCGACAAATTAAATTCTAAAACATTTTTTGTATATATTGGAAAAATAAATAAAGGCGTTTGACGTATTTGTAGGTAAAAATTATTTCCGATTTAGTGTAAATGGGTATTAAATTGACTAAAATGAAGCATTCTCTCCGAAGCAGTTATGTCTTATGTAAACAATGCACGCGCCATTCAGCCAATGATTCACACCGCGTGCTGTGACAGCACGTGTTAAGGCAGTCATCTATGACAGAGATATTATACGACACTCGTAATTCTCTGTGAAACAGATTGCTAAAAAGAATTTGGTGTCATACAAGATATCATCTATTCTAATCAACTTAATGAACCTTTTCTTCCTCAATATTAATTACGATGTTATAATCGATTTGATAAATCACCTATGCATTAAATACAACCTCATAAAGTACGAAAGAAAGAAACCGATGTGTTTTGTTAAATCCTTTTTACAGATAAATATATACAAGACATTGGATTGAATAGAATCTTTAGAGACCTATCAGTAAAATCTATACCAGATATTATTCCTAAAATTTCACCTACAGTCGTATACAAATTTTCACCTCCAATTCGTAATAAAATATTTAACTACCATAAAACTATTGAAAACCTTAACGTACAAATTTTTTTTGACAATTACGATAATACAACATGTCAATGCGCCAACTCTCCTTTCAAAGATAAGTTTCATGACCACATACTGACAGGAATTGTTGAAGATATAAATCTTAAGTACCTTTTCAGCTTTGGACCACAATTTCGAGAACAACCAAGTAAAGCTAATTTCAAAAAGTTACGTAATAATCTAAAATCTCAAATTAGGAAATGTATAGTAGCTTGGTCTGATAAATTTCGTGCACCTCTAGAATCATTTGGAGAATGGAAAAACACGGTTTATGATCTCTTGTCAAAGAGAATCAAGTATATAAAACAAAACCCGAGGTCCTAAACAACAATACATCTTCAGCAACTGCCAAATAAAACCATTGGCTAAAACAATAACCAAAGGACTTAAATTATGCCAAACACAACATGCCATTTGGTGCAGAACACCTCGCAGTTACACTGGCATTAGTAGTTTTTTCATAATTGATAAAAATAAACCCATCGTAGAAACTTTAGATAAAATCAATCAAAAACTTAATTCTAAAACAATATCTAGATCATCGTCCATATTTTATGCCTTTATATAAATACACATTCGTGGTACGATTTCTTCAACATACCTGTTTTGCATATCTTGTAGGTGTATTACATTTGCTTGAAAACGTTGAGAGAACCCTGAACGAAACGTAGCTTTAATTAAAATAGTAATTGTGTTCCATATTATGTTTTTGTGTTTATTACATATAGTCCTGGATCTGACTATGGTTCTCTAGGAAAGTTTGAGTAGGGAGAATTTATTTGAAGAACTGTTTAGTAGGTGGCTTAGTATTTTGGACTTGGGTGGACACTCACCATGTTGTAGGTTATTCCCCTATGACGTCATCAAAGATGGCCACCGACGTTATTTCAATATTATCCTACCCGCTATAGTTTTCTTTCAATATCTATGAAATAAAAGCCAGGATGAAGCTGTCTGTGTGAACTAAAGTGAAAAATATACTTATTAAACTTTTATTATTTTTTCAATTTTTAAGTGACAACACGAAAAAATCTCTAAAATGTAAAAAACAAATAACACTTCAAAATTAATTACAATGGTATAACAATAAGAAATTCGTTGACAGCATTCAAAAGGAATTTTTACAAGTTCCATCAGAGTCTTTGACAATCATACATTTATAAAATGAACAGCATGATAACTCATTGGCTCTGCAAATACAGAACGACTTTGCATATATTAACCTACAGAGACACAAGCACCAATAAAGTCATCGGGATACTTTTGTACATTGAATTGCGGAGCCAGACCATTTTGGGATATTTCAAAGCCAAACTGACATGGTTCTAAATGAATGATTACATTATCAAGACAATGATGTACATGTTGATAGTTAGTATAAAAATATGATCTTAACAACCGAGCGGTATCTCTCACCCATATTCGAAATGAAGTTAGCAAACATATTCCTAGCGCCAATAAAATCCTCTACATGTATTATATTTATCACGATAATAATTATTACCTTTATATTAGAAAATAACATTTTAAGACACATTAAAGATACCTTCCACGGTACAAACTGGGTGATCTGATGATATATTTGGACTAAAAGCATATTCAAACTAATTTTTTTTTCAAATCCTTCTCAAAACATTGTATTCGCGAGGAAATACCCCACGCAATAAAAATGTATTAAAAGAAGTCATGTTTGTCAGTTTGTGTCACGTGACTTAGCTGACGCGTCACCATCGCGTGCATCCTATGACGGGCAGACCTCCCTAATCGTCGGGTTTCCGATTAGGAAAAGCCTTATATTTTTGTCCTGTATGCGTAGGATGGAGGGATAGCGTTTTACCCCAAACAAATTGCAAAAGAAACCAATAAAATTTGGTTCATACTCAAATTCGGCCATGGCGAAATGACGTAATAACATAATTCAATATGGCGATCTTCAACAAGGTTCAGTGTGTTTTAGTGGTGGGAGATTAACTCTTTTTTAAATTATTCAAACACAAACCCCCTAAAAAAAAAATGCATTTTCATGACAGCTATTTCGTAAGATGACTTTTAGCTATAAGGTTTTCGATGTCTCTGAATTTAAAGATAAATTCTGAAAATCCAATACAGCAGCAATTCAAAATGGCAGCAAAAATGGCGGATTTTAAGTTAGGCCTAATCGTCATTTTTTCCTATTGGATATGTCATTTATATGGTTTTCGGTGTCGCTGGTTGCAATTCTGATCTCAAAAATAAAATTCAAGAATCCATGATGGCAGAAATAAAATCCCAAACGTCGGAATATGTCTTATAGCCTATAGGCTAAAGGTTTTAAGGGTACAGAGTTCAATTTCTATCCATAAAACTACTTATGCATATGGCGATTTTTGTTCTTTTGGATATCCCTTGAAAATAAAGTTGCCAGAGTTACTGGGTTCAATACGGGGTTAAAAAATTAATTTCCGATAAGATTGTCAGACATAGAATTTGTGCATAGACTGAAAACATCACGACATGTCATAGTAAGCATTATTTTCAGTCCGTTTTTCGAAAGAAATTTTGCGCCTGTGAGAAGAGAATCCCATCGGACCCCATGGACCTTGGGCCCCGATCCGTCCGTGGTATTATCATCTAAATCGATAGTAACCACAGGTTCATTTCTGTCTGTTATTCATTTCCCAAGTTCTTGTAATTGCCACAACCATATTGGAAGCTAGACAAAAAACAGGCAGAAATGATGAACCTGTGGCTAATGATAGTGTTAGTAGTGTTCTCTTCGAATAGGCGCCAAATTTCTTTAGAAAAACTGATTGTAAATTGGGCTTTATGGGGTATATCTTGGTGTTTCTAGCTTTTGCACATCTAACTTGCGGCAACCTTAGCAATTCATCAAAAAACGACATAAATTCACGATTAAAAGGGGACACCAAATTACGCAAGAACATTAACTAGCTTTGGGAGCCCTGGAACTACCATACTCCTGTTCAGCCCATCCCTAAAAAGGGAGGGGAAAGATGGGATGTTGCAAATTTCTGCAGTACTTGATTACTTTAATCATCAGTAGAAATACGCTATATAAAATAATAATTCTTATATTATTTTACAGCTACAATAGCGAAAGAAAAATATGTTTCCGTTTTATCCAAAAAGCAATTTATTGTCATTTCCTGCAGAAAGATATGGTGTTAAATCGGGTATGCCTTAAAGTTGCAATTTCGTATTTTTAAGTTATATTTTTAAAATTTATTAAAATAAAGCCTTAAAATAGATGGTATCTATAAACAGTCCTACCTTGTTAAAGAATAATCCTATTAATCCTATAATTCACTATTGCCAGTTAAGAAATTGGCAAAAATATCATTTTCCTCTTAAAATTCAAACGTTTGAAAAAAGCTAATCCATGGTGGAGAATAGAAAGCAAGGGAGGTAATTGGGAGGTAATTGTGTTATTATTTTCGGTGTAAATGAGTTTTAAGTGTGAGAATGACACCTATGATCGTATAATAGTGAGTTGGCAACCTATTGAGCAAAAGACATAGAAATAATTATGTTTTGACTTTCTTAGAAAATATGAAATTGTAACTTTAAATTATCATATAAATTAACACTTGGTTAAGTTGGTATATTGATACAGTATTTTACAGCAACAAGAACGTTTCGGTTTAATAGAAAATGCCAATAAACAATTTATTGTTAGTTTGAGGGGAAAGTGCTGCAGGTGGTAGATAATATTTAAATGTTGTTTAAATGCATATTTTCATAAACTTATTATGCAGATAGATGTTTATATGGAAGGTCCACTTGGATACAAAATGATATTTTGTGTGAAATAGGCGTCCTGAATACAATACAACATAGGCGGCTTATGAAATTTTGCAGTCTAGTAGTTTATTCATCCCTTGATTCTGAGAAATAAAAAACATTAAGCCACCAAAGCTGGTTTGAATACTGTTTGATGCAAAGTGAACGTACCCTTTTCTGCGTGCCCAATTTGCGATATTTTAGTATGTTTACGGTAATAACATGTCTTAAAATGCTTCTATTATAAAGTTAACAATTATTATCGTGATACATATAAATATATATATAGGTTTTATTGACGCTAGGTATATGTTTGCTAATTTCATTTTGAATTCATGTGAGATTCCGCTCGATGTATTGCTTCACAGTCAAAAGACACTCCATCTTGTGGTAACTATGTATTGTGACATCACAACTATGCTTGACCTCATTAATTAGTATGCACAGTTCTTTATATAAAAAGACAAAACTTCTTTTTTGAGTGTTATTAAAGTATTCTTATTGTTATATTTTTGAACTTTTTCACGTTTTCGCTTAAAAATGTGGTATGTGTTTTCTTGAAAATGAATAAAAAAATTACCAAAAATATGCTCTTCAAATAAGTTCAAATAAACAGCTTCATTCTGGCCGTTATTTCATAGAAATTGGCTGAAAACTAGAGCGGGTAGGATAAAATTGATATAAAGTCGGCGGCCATATTTGATGACGTCATTGTGGAATAACCTACCACGTGGTGAGTGTCCACCCAAGTTCAAAATACTTACTTCGGCACCCACTAAACATTTCTTCAAAAAATTTCTCCCTACAGAACCATAATCAGATGCTGGATTATATCCCGAAATACCAATCGGAATTAAAGGAATGCCGTTAGATATACAGGGAGTTTACAATATCTGAATGATAAAATACCAGGTCGAACCTTGAAATCTGCATAATTCCGATTAGCTCCTAAATCGATAAAAAAAACACTTTTGCCATCATCTTATCTGGATTATCAACCCTTTTATTGTGGTTTTTATTACATGTCAACCTTTGAATGATTTGGCAACCTACCGCCTTTTACCTCACGTCATTCAGGCAGCAGACGACTGTCTTTCGAGAGGGTTTTACATTTTTCAGTTTGCCTCTTTGTATTCAGTATTCTTTTGTTTTTTTCCTCTGTTTTTTTTCGTGATAAATGCAACAATATACCTCAATTCTATTGAATACGGGGGGTTGGATGGCCGAATAGTTAGCACGCCCGCGCTGTATCATACCGTCTGCCATTGAGTCAACTGGCGGGGTTTCGATTCCCCGGATGTACGTGACAAGGAGTAGGGTCGCCTGTCCAACCTCGTGGGTTTTCTCCGGGTCCTCCGGTTTCCTCCCACTGCTAAAGACCCCTACGCGCAAGCGAATGATTGAAATATAATTGAACCATGCGTTATTCCCGAAATGACATAGTTTGTGTCGAGTCGACGCTAAACCCCATCTCTCTCTCTCTCTCTCTCTCTCTCTATTGAATACTTAAAGGGGCTCAATCGCTAATATTTGGGACCTAAAAATTGACACAAATGGGTCGCAACGCATATAATAATGTAATATGAATGTATTTAAACAGAATTACATTCAACCGTTACTGTTTTTACTGTAGTTTCTAAACAGTCCGCCGAAATATGTCAGAAGTCTCAATCGAATGGCACCGATACACCGATAATATTTATTGCGCATGCTCTCCATATAAGAATATGGCGTCACCGTTTGACATGACTTGTGGAATATGCCTAACCTCGTTTTTCGAGTCCCTTATGACAAATAGCGCTGAAACGCATTATGGTACACGATTCGTGTACCAATCGTAAAATGTTTATTTTGTCTTAAATATTGGATATCAGAAGTCCATCTTTTTCCGGTAAGATCATAGCATCAATGTTGATTTAAATTGACAAATAATTCGTGTTTTCAATGTCAAAGATTTTGGATGATATTGAGTTAGAGACTTAGCTACTTTAAAATGTTTCTTACTTAACAATGAACATTTATTTTTAGACTACCTGGTTTTTTTTATACATTTCACCGGTATGGTTACTTGTATAGGTAACTTTTACTTCAATATGCTTACATTCATATTTCATGTGGCATATAGCAGATCATGACTCATGCTGGTAGTACACAGTGGTTTTCTCTGGGTTATATTCCTGATTGTTTTCAATTTTGAGTGAAGTCTGTATCACCACAGACCCAGGACTGTACAGCGCAGTGGACGCTTACGGCTAGACCCGGATCCATTCACTTAAAAATACATTATGCAAGAGCTAAATCTGCCTATTGCAGGTCTTTCTTTAGGCCTGACATGTTATCTAAATTATTAATTAGACATTACTTAACTTATCCAGACCATAATCAACCCTCGATGACATCGCTCAGCGCTCATTGATGATTAAATAAAAAATGGATAATCGAGACTATGATTTTTATCGTACCGACTTTAGTAATGATGATCGATGCTAGGCCTAAAATTCAATCGCTAAATTCTCGGTTCAGAGTGGATCAATTTGACTGAAATTTCCCGCAAATTCCCTTTAGATTATCTAGTTTTTAACTAGTTGATGTGGGGGATTAGCCAATGAAACGGTCTGTTACAACTAGCTTTAGGCGTGTCTTGCACGGAACTGTCGGTAATCCATTAGTAAAATCACTGATGAAAGGTTAATCAAATGTCTGACGTCAGAGGTCAAAAGTCGCTCGTATGACCTCTGACGCGACCTATCGCTACAACCGGTCAGATCTTCGAGTAGTGTAGGCCATAAAAGTATAAAAAAAACAAACGAAATATAGATTTGTATTTGAATCAGATTGAAATTCTGTGAACAGGAAATTCACGTGGCTGATTACGACAAGAACTGTCGAATGGTGTCGCTGTCTGAACAAATTTTCATTCATTTCAAAACTGTATATACTCACAAGGTTTGTTTTATATCTTCCAGCCACGTCATCGCCTAAACTTGCCAAAATATCCACTTTGATGGATTTAACTGTAGCCTTTGATATTGCTGATTTAGATGATGATGGTGTAAGAGAATTTGCAGAAGATAGAGATCACATTGTCAGAGCAGACTTCAATGGTGATGGGGAGGTAAGTCAGGCGGAAATGGTCGGTGATCCAGCTGGGGAAGATATTCCATCACCGCTTCGTAACATGTATGATATCAATGGTGACGGGAAGTTAACAATGGCCGACAGCGAACTCTTCTATTTTGAGCTTGGACGAGGATATGGAAACGACATAGATCTGGGAGAACATTTGGAATATTTCCTCTCCAAGATAGAATCATCAGAAAGTGGCATCACGGTTAAAGCTTTTGTTAGAGCCAGAAATAATTACTTGGTCATGGATATCGATGATAATTTGAAAGTCTCTGAACAAGAATTCAGATCGGAATTTCGTGTGGCAGATTACGACAAGAACGGTAATCTTACAACCATAGAATTGAGTGGTTTCAGACCCATTCGTAACGTCAATGTAACTGATTATTGCACTAATGCCGATGTTGGCTGTCCAGTAGAAAATTTTCTGGTTATGTTTAACGAAGCGGATACCGACAATGATAAGTTCTTAACTATGAAAGAATATCTTACAAAATTCGGGGAGTTGACGACCAGCACATAGATATATACATGCACGAGCATTTATACGCTGAGAGGCCTACCTGTTGAACACCTGTAGTTTAACTCTGAATAAATCCTTCTCTCTCAGTTATGTTGTTCATGCCATTTACAAGTCATTATTTCAAATTATGTTGTTGGAATTATGGGTTGCCAGGCCCCTATGGCCACAGGAGTCATACGCACAGTCCGAAAAGTTTTCGCAAAATTATATTATCAATTACCAGCAGCTCTAGAAAATTAGATTGGGGGTGGGGTGGGGGAATGGCGCGTGCGATTTAGATCATAAAGCTTGTCATTGAGTTCAGTTGCGGCGTTTCAGTCCCCTAAGCTTGAACGTGACGGATGGTTACCTGCCTAACTCCGTGGGGCTTTTCTCCGTCCCGACCCCCGCCCTCACCCCCAATGCTAAAGACCAATACACTCGAGCGAATTATTGAAATAGTCCCAAAAATGACCTAGTTTGTGCTGAGGACCCGGGGAAAACCCACGAGGATGGACATGCGACCCTACTAATTGTCACGTACAACCGGTGGCTAAATGGTAAGACGTTGGCACGCTAGCCTGGAGGTCGGGTGTTCGATCCCTGTATTGGCCGAGACAGTTCATTCAGATTTTCCTGCGGGGTTCCCCCTTGTCAGCGATGCAGAACGGAAGGCCTGACAAGGGCAGCTGTCTAGTCGTTCGGATGGGGTGAAAAACCGAGGTCCAGGTTACACCTTGGCGTGCACGTGAAAGATCCCTTGGCAGTTGGAATTCGATGTAAGAGTAGGCCGTAGTGCCGCTGTCCGGGCAACATTTCCCTCATAGCACACTGTATGGCGTATGCCCGTCTTCATTAACCTAGTTCGGAGCACAACAGCAGGACGTTAAACCCCATTTCATTTCATTTCAGTTGGTCTCCATTTTGAATCTAGCCCTCTAGCGGATTCCGCCAGCATTTTAGAGAGAGGCACCTAAGCTTAATCGCTTCAGCAGGTTTTTTTTTTCATATAGAAACCACCTTCAAAAAAACTTCACCGCAAATTGGTCACGGATTTTAGATCTCGTACCCAATAGCCTTTTAACAATTCACAGATAAAATGTCGAAAATAAATTCTATCGTATTTTATTGCTGAGTAAGGTTGAGTTTAGCATCATTCACATTTGAGCTTTTCATGTTAAGATTGAGTTTAGCATCATTCACATTTGGGCTTTTCATATTAAGATTAAAAGGTACATTACTCTCCATAGATTCGCATAATCCTGTTAAAATATTTTTATTAGCAACGGAGGTAACATTGCTGAAGCTCTGCACATAATATAAATAACTACCCACTTAATGTTGATAAGACTTGATAAAAGGCTTACTACCCTCTATAAATATATATTCCCATCACAAAATTTAAATATTTTTAGAAACAGACAAATGTTTTTGTAGCAACCTGCCAAACACGATGACGTGTAAATGTTGGTGTATATCGATTACAAATGCATTTCTAAAATTGAATGATTTTTTCAAAATTTAATTATTATACTCTTCAAAAAAAGTATGGGATATTCAGAAACAATACGAAACTGCGGAAATGCACTGCTGTTTTTATTAGAGGTATCCAGTGTATGTTAATAACAGGCCAAATGTCTACACATGAACTCAAACAGTTCATATCTGACGACCCCATTTCACTCGCAAAGCGATACATCGTCAAAAGTGAAAATGGACGTTTTTGATTTGTGTCTTAATAATGAGTAATTGCTCCACTAATCCTCAGACATTCAGCAATTCGTCGTGGCATGCTCCTAATCAACCGTCCAATGACGATTTGGGACAATCTGACCCACTCCTCTTGCAGTGCCTCGGCCAATTATTGCAGTGTTGTCGGCGTTGACGTCGACGAACACGTCTCCCGATCAAATTTAACGTAACACACTAAAGCAAAGGTACGCTAAACAGTAAATCTTATGCAAGAACCGATAGGAATGCTAACATGGCTAGATAAACCAGCACGCGGCAGTTTTCATCAACCCTTCCTTGAAGTGACAAATTTGAAAATGACCCGGCCCTCCCACGTGTATGGCGCTATTGCGTGTCGCATGTGCAGCTCAGTGGTTCTGTTGGGGCGATAAGTTCTTCATCTGTGAACATACTCTCAAAGCATGTCAAATGTCCATGACTATTTATCATATAACAACCTGCATAGGTATTTGCATTTCAATATCTCCTACTTTTTTTGAAGAGTATATATTAAACAAGTATATATTTTGCTGGAATACATTCCTGTATAATCAATATATGCCACGTGAATTGTCAATCTGTTTCACAGATAATAATAATAAATAAAGTAAAATGAAAATATTGAAAATTTTATTCAAATTACTTCATTCTGAGCCAAGTTATCACTGCTTATAGTTTTGACAAGATGTGCGTATTGTGGTAAACCAGGGCACTGGTATATTTGAGACGTAGCCTTGTTTTCCCATTTTTAAATTAAATTCTTAAATGGCGAACCGTTCTAATCTAGTTAAAATCTTGAGTATCCGATGCCATCGAGAGTTGATTATGGTCTTGTTTTGTTAATATTAATGTCTAATTATTAATTTATATAAAATTTCAGGTCTAACGAATAACCTGCAATAGGCAGATGTAGCCCTTGCATAATGTATGTTTAAATTAAGGATTTACGATAGGTGTGCGGGATATTAATATGTAAAATAGACTCAGTATCGATTCAGTATTCCACATATAAACCTAGATTTGCTGAACAAAATGCATCCATGTTTTTTTTCTTATGTGACTTTTCCTCATTGTATCAACAGAGTAAATTCTGTCAACACTCCCCTTCGAAAATTGCACAACTTGTCCCGAGGTGGACTTTACAATTAAGTTGGCATAAGCATCTTCACATATCAAACCCATAAAAAACCATCATGCTAGAATTACAACCATAATATACTATTCAAAAAAAGTAGGAGATATTTGATTTTTAAGTGTTATTAACGTCACCTAATGAAACTGACGAAGAAACAAATGACAAAATGAAATGAAGTTCACATTCATCGATTTATTCCAAATGATCGTTAGACTAAGTAAGGCACAGACTGACCATTATAAGGGTAAAATGATACCCGGGGTCAAACAGCAAAGTTACCACAGCATCACAACCAAGTCAGTAACGGGTAAATCCTCCTCTGTTTGCCAAACAAGCATTGATCCGACGTGGCATACTCCTAATGAGACGTCTAAGGTCATTTTGGTCCAGATTGTCCCATTCCTGTTGCAACGCAGCAGCAAGTTCTTGGACATTGGCAGGACGTTGTTGACGTTGACGTAACCTCTGTCCAAGCATGTCCCAGACATGCTCGATGGGGGAGAGGTCGGGACTCAGTGCTGGCCAAGGTAATGTGGTGATGTTCTGTTGTTGGAGGTAACCTGTAACGATCCTGGCCCTGTGACATCTTGCGTTGTCATCCTGGAAAATGAAACGGCGGCCATGACGTCGTGCGAACGGCACAACATGGACTGCCAAGATGTTGTCCCGGTAGTACTGGCCTGTAACACGCCCTGCAACAACATATAAAGCCGTTCTTCCAGCAACAGTGATGCCTCCCCACACCATAACAGAACCACCCCCAAATCGATCATGTCTGATGACGTTAACGTCTTGGAAGCGCTCGTTTCGACGACGCCACACCCTCCTACGTCTGTCCAAAAAATCAACAGTGAACCTTGACTCATCTGAAAACATCACATTGCTCCAGCGTCGATTATCCCAGTGTTGACGATCCCTACACCAACGACGTCTTGCCTGAATGTGATGATCTCTCAAACAAGGGATCACGCGAGGACGTCGGGCGCGAAGGTGACCCCTATGCAGTCGATTCCGAATCGTCTGGCCACTCACTCTCACACCAGTGTCTGTTTGAAGACGAGCGCTGATCTGATTTGCTGTGATGACACGATTTCTCAAGGCCAAGGTACGGATAAATCGATCCTGGGCTTGAGTTGTCGCCCTTGGTCGACCTGAGCGTGGTCTGTCCTGTACAGATTGTGTATCACGGTATCTGGACCATAGCCTGCTTATGACAGACTGAGAAACATTCATCGTCCGCGCCACAACCGCCTGTGTTGTGCCGATCTGTAGCATGCCAAGGGCACGTAACCTTTCATTTTGGGTAAGCCGACGCATATCAAAATTTGTTTTCTGGTCACTAAAACAATTAAACTGATGTTTCCACCCTGGAATTCAATGCCACAATGACTGTAACATTCAAAGTCAGAGTCGTGCAAATCTTGGGTTGGACCCCCATGATGATCCCAAGCATCACCTGCATTCCATGCGGTAGCTATTGGTGCGTTTGGGCGTCACATGTAACTGGAAATGTTTCTTCTCTTAGGTTCTATAGTGACTTTTTTCGTAGTCATTTGCATATTTTAGTATTATGCCCCCAAAATCAAATATCCCTTTATTTGAATAGTATATAATGGTCATCCGTTGCTAATTTGTTTCTCAATGATGTCTACATGGTTAATGAAATAGAAAACAAGAAACCCTTTTTTAAAGAAATCCAGTTTGGGGTTTAAAATTTAGATTTTTGTACTCGATGATATTAACTTGTTCCTTAAACCAACAAGTATCATTTATTATACTATTTGATAGACAGCCCCTCTATTCGTGCATCTTTACTATTACAGACTGGAGAGGTGGTAGCTCAGATTATCACTAGGATCAATTTGTTCTCCCCCCCACCCTCACATCTCCTGTCTACCCATGTAAATACAGGTAGATCATAGCAAATGTCAACTATAATTTATAAATTCTTCTACTGATATTTATTATTTATTGATTAAAACAAGTATTTTATTTCATTTGGAATGCATGATGAACGGAAACTGATAACGAAAATTCGTTATGCAAGCGTATGGCAATGGCAAAAAGATAGTTCATTTATTAATAATAGAATAATTGATATTTTTAAGTAATAAGCAGCAGTGCCTATATAATCCTTACACTGATAGACATATCTTAGTTTGACTTCAACTGCTCATAGAACTGCGCTTATTTCATCAACCAGTGGTTAGATACAATTAAACGTTGATCATGAAGGGTTAT